TTAAAATATCAATGACTTATCAGATATCGTCATTTCTGCTTTCCTGTAACTTGATCACTCATGTTATTATTGTTGTCTCTGCTATTCCTTAGGCCTCAAATTATCATAAATAATTATAGAAGGTGAATGTGCAACTGACTCAACGAATTAAGACTAAATGTGGGTTCGTGTTTACTTCGCTGTGACTGACCAATTCAGACGCTAGACTAGCACAGAGTTCAGCAGTTAGACAGAAAAGGTTCGGCATCCTCTTGACAGGTAGTTTGCTAGTTTTCGTCTTCATTAGTAAAACGAAAACAATCACTACGTTAACGAATCCATTTTTAAAATTTAGGGAAGCTCGTTTTCTGAATACATTGAGGAAGGGGAAAATTACATGAATACAGTAAAAAAATCTGAAACCTTTCAGATTTTACATTACGCCCATAGGGGCGTTTTTTTAACGTTTTGTGTGTTACCTTTATTTGTTAAATATTATGTTTTTCGCACTTGTAGTGACATGCCACAAAATGCCAAAACGAAATTAATAGCCCTTCTGCTCTAACGCCCTTTGGGCTAAGAAAACGCGAAAAATAATGGGAAAATACGGCAGGAAATATGGTAAACATTTAACGGCAGAAAGTAAAGAGGAAGTCTTCTACAGTAACATAAATTATTATAATTTACAACTTCTTTCGGATTTAAACTTTTGTCCATTATACAATAAATTAATTCCATATCAGTTCGAGCTTTTGAAACTTGCTATAAAGACTGAGCTTTCCTGTTCTGCATGAAACAGTTTCACTTTCTTATAGCATTTTCCTTCAGCATCATAGAAAGTAAAAGGAATTTCACGAAAAACTTCGGAATGTTAACAAATGCAGCTATCTAGAGATACATTTTTTAGCCGAGTGTTCTAGAATGTCATAATACAGAGGTAGTTGTACATTTTTACAATTAGTTTAATAAAAAACTTTAAAAAAATAAAAAAGTAAATAAAAACCTGAAATTCAGGTTTTTTTTTTTTTTTTTTTAACTTTTCATATTTTAAATTACGTTTATTTAGGAGCGTAATTTACGTCATTAAATTACGTTCATTAGTACTTCATTTAGTAGCGAAAATACTTCACGTCTTAATATTGTTGCGAAATGACTAGCTGTGGTGAGACAGCTTCCCGCAAAGCGGGATTAGGGTTACCAGAAAGTGACAGGAAAAGACAAAACCAAAAAAAAAAAAAAAAAAAAAAAAAAAAAAAAAAACAAAAAGAAAAAAAAAAAACAAAAAAAAAAAAAAAAAAAAAAAAAAAAAAAAAAAAAAAAAACAAAAAAAAAAAAAAAAAAAAAAAAAAAAAAAAAAAAAAAAAAAAAAAAAAAAAAAAAAAAAAAAAAAAAAGTTGCCAGATTTGGCGCGAAATCGCCAATTAGTAATATTTCGCGACATAATTGGTGATATGCCATAGATGGAAAGGGAGCATTCTAGAATACATTTTTAGCGTTTTTCTCGAGAATGTTCTCGAAGGTAGGTTAAAGCTATATATACCCTGCCTGCGCTGGGAGAAAGTAGTGTCTTGAGTTCAGAGATTAGCTTGAGAGCGATCGACCAAGCCGGAATCTGTACTTTAGTCCTCTGCCGTGAAGCTGTCTTCACCGCTATAACCTGAAGGCTGCTTTGCTGATTGTTTCGGCGTGTTTAGTCGTAGTTTTTCGACGACTGTAAACTTGTCTTTGGAACTGTCCTATGTAATACTGGCGAATAAATTGTGTTTTGATTCTTCATCAAGTATTATTATTATTAGTAGCATTATTATTCATCAAGTATCAAGTACTCCAAATCTATGAATCCGCAGAGCGCAACAATATGCTGGTCTATTGTATCACTTATTATTATTATATCATCTAAATAAATGAAAGTTTATTTTACGAGAACTGGTCACAAAATTACATCCATAGCATGCTGGAAAGTGGCAGGCACCTCACATAATACAAACGACAATCTTAAGAGAACGTAGACACCAGACATTGCAATGAACGCTGTTTTAGGTACAGCTTCGCGGTTCACGCCGAACTGAAAATATCCGGATGTGAGATCCAGCGTTGTCATGAATATCGTAGATTTAATATTTTGCATTATTTCTTCAATTATGTGCAAGGGATAGGCAGGTTGCTTTGTAATACTATTTAGTTTTCGATGGTCAACGACGAATAGCCATGCTTTGGTAGGTAATGTGTATGACTGGTAGGTGGTAGATTGTTTCTTTTTTTACACAACACCACCGGGCTCGCATAATGGCTACTGAAAGGGGTTATAATTTTGTTTTTCAAAATCTTTTCTATATGATCTTCGATTAGTTTTTCCTTTTACTTATCATGAAGATAAGGTTTAGTTCTTACTGGGCCGAAGTACCACTATCGAAACTCATGGTTAATAATATTAGTACACCCTGGACTGTCATGAAAAAGATTTGCGAAGTCACTTGTTAAGGTTTCGATCTTCTGTCTTTCTTCTGGCCCCAAAAGTTTAATTAACAACTGCAGTGGCTGGGCTCTTCTTTCTTCTACTTTATTCACCTACGATTGTAAAATAGAACCACAGAAATTAAAATGATTTAAGATTACGGTGGCTTGCAGGTTTCGCACAACAAAAAATGTCACTTTAAGTGTTTCGTCTTTTACTTGTACGTGCAATTATTTTACCGAAACATGTACACTGCTTGTCTTGTGTGACAATGGCTTTCGCTAAGCTTAATTTAAAAAGGCCTATGCTTTCGGAAGTATTTCCTAAATTTCTGAAATGAAGCTGTATTGGGCTTCGGTACCTATCGGTGTTTCGGCAGTGATACTAATTAATAAAATTTGCACTATCGGCAGTTCCAAATTTCCTACTACTACAGTATTTAATTTAAATTTCCGAGGGATTTCTTTATTCCGGGGTGAGTGCACTCTCTCATCAGCACCGATTTTTAGTTTAACTTTTCCCTCTGCTTTTGGTTTGCTTCTTTCCTGCACCCGCTACTCCCGATTCAATTTTCCCCTTTCTTTTCAAATTGCTTCTTCTGCCCAAACTGCGGTTTTTGTTGAGGCGTTGGCCTAAAATCTCGTTCCTTTGGTCTCTCATCGTACCATGCTCTTCGATTTTTCTCTGTCACACGTCGATTTTGGAACTTCTGGTTAATTCCGAATAAGCTTACCAACGACGTTGGATTTCGGAGCTCAAAACACTTCTGGACTTGGGATAATAGTCGCGGCAATAATACTTGAAAAATTTCTTCATCCAGCCTCTTGCCATATACTAAATAGCTCCGACTCTAGCTTGGTCTATCCTTGACAATGGGAAACACTTTAATTAGCGCATTCTTAAAGTTTTCGAAGCTTTTGCTTTCGCTGTCAGGCTTACCCATCAAGAAATTGCCAATGCATTTATACCACGTAGAAGCCTGGCCTATAAGGGCGGATGTGGCAATGGTAACTTTCTGCGCTTCTTTTAATGGATGTAGCAGAAAAAGCGAAATTAACTGTTCAAAACCAATTTAAAACTGAGGTCTTTCCATGAAAAGTTACTGCTGGATTCATAGCAGCTCTAAGGATGTCTTGCGATGTTGAGGGAATCACACTTAAATGGTGAAGTTTCCTGTGACATAGTTCTTATTGCGCGGGCGCTAGTATAGAATCTCGTTCTCTTGGGTAGCATAAACTAACGAAACCTAAAAGACTGTGTGAGGAATTAGCTTCAAGTCTTCTAAAAGACTGTGTGAGGAATTAGCTTCAAGTCTTAGTTACGAGGAAGAGTCCCACGAAGGGTGTAAAGAACTCTTTATTTACTAAATATAATTTCACAGATGGCACCACATAGGTATATACAAAGCCAGCATTTCTGGTTTAATTCAAAGCAGGTAACGATGCACTAACCCTAAATGCTCACAGGATAATTTAACGAGCAGGAATGCTTTGACTCGTAGAAACAGGCCTAATGGCCTAGTGGCGTAAACAAGCTTAATGGCTAGAAGTGGTCAACCCACAGAAATCTAATCGCTAGTAATTTAAGATAGCAACGTGGGTTTCAAGCAGATATAACACTTCCTAAAAACCCCCTTCTGAAACATTCCCTTAAATGCCATTCCTTTTTAAATCATTTAAATATACTCTGTCTAGTTTATAAACATTCTGGCAGGAAAACGTGGGTGAAAATGAGAATGAAAGGAAAGTTGTTTTAAAATTAAAAACTAACTGATAATTAAATTAAAATAAGCTCTACAATTTGAGTGTAAATACGTTATTTAACTTTGATTTGCCAGCTCTTTACTTAAAGATTGCTAATAATTCTTTCTCTGTCCCTCCTTCCCCCAAAATAAAAATGCAGAAAATATTGTGAAGGTGCCAAGCTTTTAACAATATTTTCTAGAAGAGGACGGATGTTTTTAAAATGAATAAATTTCCCTATCAATTTGAATAACAAACGTATTTCTCTAGAGTTCAAATAAATTTTATTGTGCTATAAGTTATAACTTTCTTTCAATCTCAAAATAAATATACATATTATACAAAGAAATAATAATGTTTACTATTTTTATGTACGAGCAAGCACTTGCGATTGAAGTTTATCACGATTATTAGGAAAGGTGGGCAAACACAGCACAATTTCCTCAGTTTAGTGGGAACTAAAGCAATTTTTAAGTGCTTTCTGTGCATTTACCTTTACTTATACGCTAGCCAGGATCACAGTTCAATTTATTACGAAAACGAAGGGAAAAAAATTCTGTTGATGTTTAATTCTGAAACTGATCCATTTGCGATTTACGAAAAGTCAGCACTACAATCTTAATACAATCAGGAGGAAAACGAGACGCTTTGATTTTAGTCATTGATAACTTTTCGGAACTGATTGCGTCTTAGTCTTTTGACCTTAAATAAATTTGCAAAATTTGCAAATTTTGGAGACGCTATCGTCAGCATGCTTTGACTATTGTTTTTGTTAAATGCTTTCTCAAAGAACTTCCTTACGTTGGCTTTTTAAAGGAGCATAAATAGGAACTTCGCCTTTGCTGGGAACATTCAGGGAACTTCTCAGCAACCATGGGGCTGGGACTTCTTGCACTGACTTGTCTGGTGGGAGCTGCTTTTGCTGGTGAGTGCATTGTCAATTTCTATTTGGATATTTCATTATGCTAATTACAGAGAAAGGGTTCTAGTGTGATGAATATAAAAGTGAAGATATTTCAGAATATGTTTATCGGAAAAGAAGAAACACAGGAAACGTAAATTTGTTACAAAGCACTGAAATATATATCTATATCTATATCTATATATATATATATATTAAAACTTTTCTCATTAATTTAAAAGTATCTTGCACCTCATCTATCACACTTATTATTTTTAGCATATCCTTGACTCAGGTGCATTAAATATCTCAATTTGCTCTCTGAATCTAGTCATATAAGTAGTAATTTGTTTTAATGGTAGGACTGCATTCAGCTTATGTACATCTCATGAAAAATTTATTTGAATAAAATTTTCGATTTTAATGTAATTTTTCAAAAAATTTAAACTAAAAATTTAAAAGAAACTTAACAACAATTAAAAAAATCATTACTGTACTTCTAAAATAATTCTTTAACAAATTCAAATTTAAAATTTATTATATTCGTTTGTTCCTTTTAGGCTACTATTTAATGGTGCTTTACGTATAACGATACCAATCTCTTCCTCTTTCTCTTTTTTATTGAATTGCGTAGATAATTTGAAGGAAGTAGATCAACAATTCTCAACCGGTGGTACGCAAAGAAACAAAGTATTTTTAACTATAAAACTCAAAAATTAAATACCCAAATATCCTATTCAAGTTTTGTTCTCTAAGATTCGTAAATTTATGTGATCTAAGCTTTATTCAAGGTCAATAGCCGCTCATGAGTTTTAGCAAACTAATTCGTTTTTATTTTCACAGATATTCCTTTAGTCATAAACATAATAAAATTTATTATAAACTATGTTTTTAAATGGAGTTATAGAAATGGATGCCGCATTTAATATGAAATAAGAATAAGTTCCTATAAAAAGACAATAGTATCTCATTAATCCTTTTACGGTTGATAAATTTATTAGGGTGTTTACATTTTATATCGCTATCTTTTCCGAGCTCATATTACTCTATTTTCAATTAGAATAATTTTTTTTACGTCGATTTGCTGTCTGTAATAGCAGGTATTTTGTCTTCTTGCTGCTTTGTATTCCTTTCCTGCGCGATTTGAGAATATCGTCGTTTATTTTTGAAGAACTCATAATATATTGTGCATTTAAATATTTGTAAAAAATAGTAAAACAAACCTAAATTTTTCAAAATGGAAAAATGGCTAGGATTAACTAAGCGGAAAAGCGATGATTCGCAGGTAATGGATCAAGGACAAGCACTAAGAACTTACTACCAACACTAAGAATATTGAAAAGAGAAAGAAAAATTGTTCATAAAAAATATAATGAAAGTTATTTATCATTTGGGTTTAATTAGAATGGAGATGGAATGGACAGTCAGCCTCAATGTGTTGTCTGCAGTGATCTATTATCTAATTAAAGTATGAAACCATCGTTTCTTAAAAGATATCTTGAATCTAAGCATGCCAATTTAAAGGGTAAATCTGAAGAATATTTTAAGATAAATTATCGGAGTTCAAAAATAGTAAACAAAAAAGGTTTCGTTACTTCATGTGAAAACGTTTTGTAAGCTAGTTGCCTAATAAAACTAAGAATTTCCAAGACTGGGCAGGCTCATACCTTATATTACCAGCAGCTAAATATATCATTTCAACATTATTCAACGAAAAAGCGGCTAACGCACTTAATAATATTCCGTTATCAAGTGATACAATAAATTGATGAATTCATGAAATGGCAAATTCCATAAAAGAGACACTTATTCAATAAATAAATAAATAAAACTCAGCGAGTATTTCGCATTTCAAACGAATGAATGGACTGATATAACGAACTTTGTTCAATTATTAGTTTACATATCTTTCGAAGAAATAAACGAATTGCCGAAGAGTATTTATTTTATGAAGCTCTTCATGATAGAGCAACTGAAAATGTAATTTTAAGAGTAATTGACAATTTTATGTCTGAAATGATTACAATAAGTTATAGAGACATTAAGAATTTTTGGAAGCAGGCAAGATGAAAAATGAGCAACGCCTTCGCCGGGAATCGAACCACGGACCTCTGGAATACTGGCCCAGCGTGCAGAACCACTACAGGACACGCCAAGAAGGTGGGAGAAGTACCTTATAAAGGGATCTCGTGAAGAAAAAGAACAATTGATAGAAATTTCCTGTGATCAAACTCTAACTGAAGTTTTCAAAAATAACACACTTCTTAACTTTTGGCTGAATCGAAAAGAAGAATTTAAATTTTTATTGCCTTTTTGCACAACCTATTTGTGTGAACAAGTACTTTCTTCCATGTTATATTTGAAAAATAAATACAGAACGCGTTGCCACCAAAAGTATTCAGTGCTAAGTTTAAACTTAAAATAGCCCAAATAAAATAATGTATAGCTGAGAAAACTTTCAGTTAAAAAAATTGACCTGCTTTTAAATAAAATTTAAAACAGCCCAAATAAAATTCTATATAGCTTAGAGAACTTTAAATTAAAAAAAAATTACCTGCTTTTAAATGATAAGTTATTTTATTTTGCTATTGCAGGCCCATTCGCAAGAGAGACAAGTAATCGGTGCTCTTTACAGTGCTCAGAACGTAAGTACATTTAAGTATTATACTTCCTTTTTTTTTTACTTTGTTTAAATTAACTCTTTCTCGAAGTACTGAACCAGCTAATTACATCTAATTTCTCTAATGCAAATTATCAAAATTCATTTATAACGATATTTTTTTCCGATTGTCGAAGATTAAAATATTGCCCTCAGTCATCTCCAGTCATTGTGGTAATTTCTAGCAATGTCCCTTTTTTCAAGTTTTCTTATACTAAATCTTAGACCTTGCGTATTCATTAGAAAGACATATAAAATAGTAAACGTATTTACTTGAACTTCGGAATCCATTTGATAATCCTGAAGTGTGAAGCACGTAAAACAAACTAAGATCTCAAAGAACAAGAGAGTTTATTTAATTATATCTCTTGCGAGTACAGTTTGTTTCTTTAAACTGCTGTCAGCCTATACAGCCGTTTCCCTCAACAATTCGTCGAACGAAACTTACATCGAGGAATTTGCATAGAAATCATACATCGAGGAATTTGCATAGTTAGATTCCGTGATCCTTCCTCCCTTCTAACTTACGCCTAATGTGGAGTCGAAAGAAATGTTTTTGCCATCTTTGTTTGTACCATCCAGTCTTTCCAAGTAGTTCTGGGTACCAGCTATTTCGAGGAAGTTTACTAGAGTGTTTCGCTTCTCTAGATGGGATACCAGCTTTACAGTCATTTGTGTTGCGTGGGCAGCATTTCAGTAAGAGTTCGTCCTACTGAAGTATCACTGGAAAAGAATAAGAAAATTCTCCCATACCTAGTCCTCTTCTCCAGGAATAAAACGCTTTTTAATACAGGGTACGTCAATGGTTTCCAAAATTTTGGTGTTTCACTACACTCTAATAGAAAAGAATGGGGTAATATTATTATTAATAACGGAAGGAGAACTAATTAAAGTTTTAATGGCTTTTTCGCTGCATCTGAGAAGGCAAATACTGGCTCTCTAGTTCGTTTTGAACTATGCATGTTTCACAATTGCGTAAGTTGTTAATTGAGGTTCTAATAAAAAAAAGTTTATTTTAAATATTCTTCTGAGTTGAGTTATTTTCACTAAAAGAAGATAAGTCGATAAGTTTTGAAGTAGACAGGTTTCTCATAAAATCTAAATTGTGTGTAAAATGATATATTACCTATGGCTTAAATGGAATGAGAGGGTGGTAGACCATTAAAAAACAGATGTTACAATTTCGGAGACCATTGTGACCCACTGCTGAGTTAAAAATTACTTTGTCATGTAATGGGGGCTTATGTACACATGTCATTTTGTAGAGACATTAAGATTATTTTTGAAGAAGGGAAGATGAAAAATCAGCAACGCCTTCGCCGGGAATTGAAGCGCGGACCTCCGGCCAGCGCCCAGTGTGCAGACCACCACACCACGAATGCATGCTAGGAAGACGGGAGAAATACCTTACATACTCCCCCTTTTTAAAGGGATACAGGAGTTTTAGGGGACCCAATCACCAAATCCTGGGTGTGAAGAGTCATCATCCACCACCCTTTTAGTTCGGGTGCCACTTATAGGGTCTTTCTTTCTTGTTCCACATAAACTAGAGTAGATCCTAAAATAACCTGGCGAATTCTCTCTCGCACAGGCGTGAAGAAAACTACTGACCCAAGAAGAAGGGTAAAAAATAGCCCTTTATTAATTCAAAAACAGTTAACAGAAAGGCACGGTCTTCATGCGTTACAAAGGCACCGTCCAACTTGCTGTGAAACTAAAACGTAGAATATAATTTAAGTCAAACCTAAAATAAATAGGCTAGATAGCATTTAAGTTAACCTAACAGGTGGACTCGCAAAACCCTAACTGGTGTGATGATTAAACCGATATGGCCAAGAGGCTTACTAGCGTAACAGCGAAACAGGCCCATCAGCGGCCGAGCGGTAAAGTCGCTGAACACTGGTAGTTCGGTCCGAGGTTCGAATCCCGCGAGCTGGCTGCATGGGTATTTTCGTGGTTTTCCCCATGTGTAACGTGTATACGAGCCAGTTTTCCTTAGAAAGTCCTCCACGAAGGCATTCCTCCCCTTAGGCAGATAGCCCTCGAGGCTTTGCCATATTCACACACACACACACACACACGTAACAGCGAAACAACAACAACGAAACGTGCGCTTGACTAGCGAAACACGCTATGAATAATCTCAGAAAGTCAGCCGTTTAAATAAGCACTTCACTTCACTTTAAATTTACATACTGGCGAGAGAATGTGAAGGGAAGTTGAGAAGTTCGGAAACGGTATCAAACTTAAAACAAATTTGTTATGCAAAATAAGGAAAACCCTACAATTTAATATTTTATGCAGTAATGCGAAACTAATGTAAATAACATAAATTTGATGCAACAAATATTCATAATTAAAGAATTAAATTCTATTCTTAAGTTTTTTTTTTTTTTTTTTTTTTTTTTTTTTTTAAATTTCGATGTAAATTGAACTTAAGGATAATAAAGGATTCATAAAGTTTTGGTTTAATGATTAAAACCACCCTTTAAATTTTATGTTAGAAATATTACTAAAGAGCGAAAAGGTGTTTAATAACCTCCCTGAATTTAAATTTATAATTTATAATTTAAATTACAGATTAAATCCATTGTAGATAAATTATAACTTCATTTCTATGTAGAGGGCAGGGGCCGTACACATGTCAAAGTACAATCAATACATACTTGCTTGATGTTTCATTTCAGAAGAAAATGGAAGATTCAGTTTTGAAGTAGGCAAAAAATATGTATACAGGTACAGAGGAGGTAACTACTTGGGGATTGCTCACAAACTGAAACAAAACACGACAATCCGTGGACTTGTAGAAATTCACGTATTAAGCAAATGCGAACTGGTCTTGAAGGTAAGAATGATGCATGATATTTATAAATTTAACTTTAAAAATTCACAACTATCTTTAATTTTTAAATAAATAGGAAAAATGTAATGAACTACTGAAATAGTTGGCAGAATATAGCTACTTTTCTAAAAATTTTAGTTGAAAGATCTAATTACATTTTCGATACCTTATACCCCTACGTTACAACTTAGAAGTCATTCTCTACATAAATGGAGAAAAAATAAATTTAACAAACACTATAGACAGTCAGTCTACAGTGATCAATTAGATCCTGATAGTTTGAAACTTCTGAATATAATTTTCAAGAAACGGCTCTTGGTTTTCTTTTCGTAATTAGTCATATGCCACCGCAATGGATTGCTTTTCGACGTACACATATATTCGCGAAGAGAATGAATATATCGCTTAATGTATTCAAGTTCGTAAAAATCTAAAACGCGAAACTAAATGCTTTAAGCTAAAAGTCAAAGTTATGGCATACAAAACTCTATCTCACGAGAAAAATAAAGACAGTCAACCGCGAAAAATATTTAAACATTAAATTTATTAAAAGTACCTAAATTAAGTATTTTTAGAATTATTTTTTAAAGTTCATCGCAAAAAATTTTCCTGATCATGTACTAATACTAATTTACATATTTGATCCCTTTTTGCGCATTTTACAGCGGGGAACCTTAATGTAGCCTCCCAATGGATCATAAAATAAAAATTTAAAATTACGAATTATTCTTACTTTGAAGTAAGAAGATTAAAATAAGTAAAATCGAGAGTAATCCTCGGTACCAGTACCATGTCAGAAATTTATAACCTTTAACCAATGTTTAAGAGTTATAATAAAAGTTTTAAATTATAACGAACAAAAATCAAGCGTCGTATATAAACGTGATCAGTAACAGAATGCTAATTGTTTAGTTGGAAACAGAACGAGGTTTTGAATTCGCGGCATAAAACTCTAGTCAAAATGGTGACAGCACCGCTAAGTCAACTTTCTTCTATTAAGAAAAAGGAAATCAAATTAAATAATGAGAGTCCAGAACTATGCTGTAATTTTTATGGATTATGATAAGCATGATAAACGTATTTCTTTATTTATTTTGGTTAAAGTTACATAAAGCTTTCAAGTCATAAAGTTCTTGCTTTTAGAATCGATATTTTAATCTGTAAAGGGATGAGATGCGTCATGATCTGATTTCCGTAACCAAGTAATTTGTTACTTTGGTTCTATATCTTGAGTCAATCGACAGTAATGATATATAAACATTCATTAATTAGGAAAACTAACCATTTATCAGGTAAACGGCATTTTAAATCTAAGTTTTTAATTACGCTCGTTTCGTAAAAATAGTGCAGCAGAATTGACCGTTTCTTCCCTTCCCTGTTTGTAATAGTTCAGCTATCATTATAAATGGTTTTCTATGAACAGAATAAAGTAATAAAAACTATTTTGTCTTAGCTAAAAGAGATCAACCTCGAGGAAAAGGCTACAGCAGCAGAAACCAGGGATTTAATCAGAAGGCTGGAAATTCCTGTACCTTTCGCATTCGATAACGGTAAAATTGAAAACGTGTGCCCAAGTCCTGAAGAAGTGCCACAGTCTCTCAACATTAAGAAAGGCATTCTTTCAACCTTAATCAATACCATGTCAAATCCTTTCTCGGAGATAGTCAAAGAGGTAAGTAGATAATTAACATGTGTGTGTTGATATAACAGAATTTAACATATTTCTTCATATTTTAAATCATGGAAGCACAGGATATATTTCCATGAACTTTTGGTTGCCCTGTATTTCTAAATTCTTGAAGTTAAATACTGTTGAATGCCTCTTTATAGGACGACAGCTTGGGAACGTGTGTTACGAAATATACAGCGCAGCAAGGGCGTTCAACACAAATCAGAAAGGAAAAAAATTTGAAATCCTGCACACAGAGACACTCATCTGTAACAGCTTTGATCACAAGTCCTTACGATTCACCAAACTCGGTAAGTTTCACAATAAATTGCTTTAAGCTATGGATGTGAAGTACGTAGTATGTCGTATTTCTTAGTTGAAGAGTCAATATTTTTTCTTTAGAATGTTCACGCTGCTCCAATTTTTCCGGGAGAGACATTAATATGCACTCAAGACATCGAAAGAGGTACTCTCTTCATTGTGTCGTGTGTGGAGGAAGCGGAATTGAAACCTCTAAAGGAACATGACGATATCATTAAATTCGAAGGAGTAGTGGAGCTGGTTTTGTCTAAAGTTGAAAATGCAGAACCTCTAACCTTGCGTAAGATTTGTTTCAATATAATCTGTTATTTAAATAAGTTCCTTGTACTCTCCTGTTGCTATGAAAGAAATCCCACAGTGTTTTAAAGCTATCCTTTTTATTCATTTTGACAACTGCATATTACCATTTTAATTTTAATTTTAAGAAAATTTTTTTAACTAAACTAACTCAAAAGCCTCTGAAAAGCTAAGATACAACTAAAATTAACCATGAAAGTTAGCGTTCTTTCAAATGTTATTTCTAAAATGCGAGCAAATGTTTTCTAATACCCACGTGATAACTTTTTTTTACTAACAAGTGATTTTAAAAATTTTTTAAAAAAAAATTTACCTCTTTTTGAATTAATATCATTCCTGTTGCTGATTTTCATGCATTTCGCCTTATGGTCTATAAATAAACAATAATTTAATAAAGAAATGCTTTTTGCATTATAAAACAGTAAGTAACCTTTACGAGTTTATAAATATGTCAGGTCCCAAATCAATGACACTATCAAATATTCAAGTGATTCATTTGTGAAAAAATTTCATTTTGCACAAAATTCTTTTAAGTTTCTGAAACCTCGCTGAAATTTTATGCATTAATATATATGTATTCATATGTGTGTATAAGTATATAACATGGGCATATATATATATATGTATGTATTATATAGTATATATATTTAGATCCCTATACTCAAAAATGTATAATAACACACATATGCTCTTTATATCTGTGTATTTTATATCTGTGTTCATATATGTATAGAAATAGATAGATGTGTATGTGTTTATATGTATATAAATAGATAGATGTGTATGTGTGTGTTTGCAAACACATAGCATTAAAACATACACACAGATATATAAGTGGAAGAAGAGATATATTATATGCATAATTTCTTGAATATTAATTTCTTTTAAAAAATTGAACTTCTTATACACATTCATACTGAAAAGTAATATAAATAACATATAATATCAAATAAATTCATAAAAAATAAATTTTCAAAAATCTTAGAACGAAAAAAAAAATAGTAAATAAATGTGTATTCACTTGGGCAGACATTGACAATTCCTTTTGAAACTCTTTCAACGTTTTTAACGAATTTAAGTACTTCATGCGTGAATGTATAAATACAACGTGCAAGTTACAAGTCAGAAACTATATACAGGAACGATACACACTGGATGCAGTTTTAATTTTTCCTCAGACATACTTGATGATCAAGCAGTTTTTCGGTGATTTGGAGCTTTATCTTCACCGAACAGCATACACCTATGTGGAATACCTATGTGTTAAACTGTTTAAATTGTATTTTTAAAGTTTAATTTCATAATTAAAGCTGTTAAAATAAATAAATCCAACTTTAAATCCTAAATGTTGAAAGCGAGAAGCAATTTGCCCCCTTTTGGCCTGTAGCATTTCATGTCTTTTCTCTTTTTGTTTTCGGTGTAAGATTGAGAATGCTATACAAAAAGTTCAAGAACACTAATTTATTAACTAGATTTCTTTAATTATAATGTTAAGTTCCTTTTTGTTTAAATTAGACTTCTCTCACACATTTACTAAAATATCAATAAAACCTTTTTCTCCAGACCCCCAGCGAGTTCAGGAATCCCTTAAATATAACCTTCAAATGGAACAAGATCAAGAAAGCAGTGAGAAGGAAGTGGAACAAATTTTGCAGCAAATGTGTTCTAAAAATATTGGGGTAGTTGATGTAGGCGTCAGCAAAAGTTTCTTTAAATTGATTTCTCTAGTAAAAAAATTACAGTCCTCATCCCTTGATAAAATCTACAACTCTTTGAAAGACGGCAAGATTTGTTCTTCAAAGAAGGTCAGGTGAGTGATAATTTTAAATTCATTGATCATTAGATAACAAGGTTTAAAGAAAACTATTATTTTCATGTAATACAAAGATTAAAATTAAATTTAGAACGTTAAATTTAACACTAATCAAAATAAGTTGTTCTTCTTCATAATTTAATGAAATCGACATTATATTTTTGCTAGCATATTGTGGCAGAAGAAATTTTTATTTGTTATAATTATTGCTGCTCTTCGTGAAGAGGGTTCTAATGACAGTCCCAAGAGTTTAGAATGGCAGACACTTTGCTTTTAATGCAGTAAAAGGTTCTTGAATTTATGTAATATCAGGATTGAGTTCAACTTACTGGTTACTTACTAGGTTTGAAGTTGCTCAGTGTGCAAGTTGTAGATAAATTGGTTGGAATTTAAAAATCATTAATTAAAAAATTACATTAAAATAATGGAGGAGTTCTTCAGAAGAACTGTAGACATTTAGAAAACGAAATATAGATGGAGATTTTTAAAACAGTAAAATTTGTCAACAGTCAAATTTTCTAGAAACTTTGTATGAAGCTGAAAGATTATAGAAGCTGGATAACTGTTTAAATTAATTCTTCTTCATAAACTGTCCGAGTTTTAATTTTCTGAAGTTCTTTGAGGCAGACTGGTGCGTAAGCTGGATGAAATATGTTAACATTGGAGTTGTTAACATCATTATGAAGTTCGCATTTTATACGTAGGGTTTTTGGTTTCTTTACAATCATTGATATTGTTATTTTCCCCACAAAATGCACAGTAATTTCGATATTTTCAGTCTCTCGCTGAGTGTTCTGTTGGAGGTGAAAACAGCGCCTGACATCCCAAGGAAATCACAAATTCTATTGGCATATCCAGCCATGTAGAAATATTCTTTGCGACACAATTTTATATGTCTTAGTCGAGCAATAAACTGTCCATTTGAATGCATTGTTTCTTTTATCATTAAATTTAAATGAATGTTGGGATTCTGAGCTATCTAATTGGAAATTTTAATTAGTAAGTTTGTAAATTCTTTAGCTGTAGGACTATATGCTAAATTGTTAATTGCACATTTCGGAGTTCTTTTTGATGGGATTTTTTTAGGGTTGCCGGGTGACTGATATTATCAATCTTCTCTAAGATTGAATTGAGTTTATTGATATCGTCTTTATCTTCCTGTAATTCCTCTCTTTTTCATGCCAGAAATCTTATTTATTATTACTCCTCAGTTAGAAATAGGATTAAACTTTTCCAGATTATCTTGAAGTCGATCATTGGTAATATTATTTTTTGGAAGTATCATCAAGAAGGGAAAGTTTTTCCGACTTTGATTTATGCTAAATTTGAGAATATTAGCATACATTTTATGCGCATTATTACACAAAATGGGAGAAGTTGCCATATGTTGAAGTTACGCGACTGTATGTGTGATAAAGGAATATTATTGCATTGAGTATCGTAATGAAATTGAATAGACGAGGTAACTGAAGGTTATTTGTCGAAATACATGGTGTACTAGGTTCATGCGGAGCATTGCAATGAAATTGAGACGTCATAGGTTCTGGTTGGAAGCATTGCGTATTAATCGATGTGTATGGGGTAACATTGGACGGACTTGCTATAGATTTAAGATGACTTCTCGGAGAAATAATCTTATTGTTATGTGATGTAATATCCATAACGGAGTTTTTTTGAAATCAAATACTGACTTAATCTCTGTAAAAAGGGTCTATGGTAGGTATCTTTTTCCATTTCTTTCTGATTTGAGAAGATCATAGCATTTATCAAAAACTTCTTGAAGTTTATAATTTTTGCCCATATTTTCTTCCGTAACAGAAGGAGCATCGTTGTTTTCTTGAATTTCATGAATTTTGAAAGGCAGACGTGATGGATTTAATTATTTATGTGAACTTTAGATACCACAGATGCTATAGCGGTAGACTCTGAGTTGTTTATAGGGCATGCACTAGATGATCTTGAGATGGAAAGTCCTTACGACATTCTATTATGAGGATGTGATAGTTCAAAATAATTTGGTCATGCTCTGGATGAACGAGCGGCTTCGAAATTATTAGCTAACTTAGAGACTAATTAAGATAAATATGTCTTGTTACCACTTTTTGGAATGCAAATTTTATTTAAGAGATAGTGGTAAAAGTTCTATTAAAATTGGTATTACAGGCGTTGAGTTAGAAAATATCAAACTAAATCTTATTGTTGGAGCCTAAATTTATCAATATTTTAATGTTTACGCTTTTTCTTTCAACTGTTGCTCGCTTTTATTTTAATATTACTAAAAACTATTGCTGTAAATATAAGCAAATGCTAAAATGATAAAATTCAATGGCTAGCTTAAAACTAAGTTGATATACTCTTAGTCGAGTTCAGATGTATGATGCTGCTTATTTTGAATTTAGTTAGTTATAAACTAATTATTATTAAATATTATTACAAACAGAGTATTGAAGAAATAATTATTAAATATTAATTTTTTGCTTGGATTTTAAGGATGTCCTTTCTTACATATTTTGATATAAACATTAGCAACAATGACATTCAACTAAATTTAAACATTAAATATAATATAAAAATATGATAAAATTTACAAAAACTTAATAATTAGTATATAATAAAGCTAATATTAATTGAAAGAGAAAATATTTCTGTACATGGCTATTATAAAAATTTTAAGAAATTTAATGAGGCTTTTGTTATATTTTAAAATATAGCAATAAATATTGACAGTTATAGCATAAATATCAAAATCAACAATGGTTTTCTATAAATTTTAAATTTAGATGAAATGAATACAAAATTAAAATAAAACTTGTAAAAATCCTGAAATTATAAGATACAATATTAAGATAGAGGATGTTTTCTTCTATAAAATTATTATAAAATCAGTATTTAATTTTACTAATTACTTATAAATGCGATTTGAAGCCACATACCTAATATTATTAAAACCAGAGCATTGCTTCAAATTATCCAAGAGATGAACTTTTAAAGAATTTCTGAAGCTGATTTTAAACAGGTGGTTAATCTAACCCTTTCGAAATTGATATCATTAGATTGCTCCCCCTGAGGGCTTTCGGATGATATAATATTTACCGACAGCTTTTGAGAGTTTTTACAATGAGCAGCTCAAAATATTCGTAACCAGGAGCAGACTAAAATATTATGCTACAGCAAAATACATAAATTAGGTTACAGCAAATCACTACGTGAAACAGCCGAAAGCTATACAAAACAATGTAGGGTTAGGCTAATTAACAGCTTATATGAATGGGAGGAATGCGCGGCTTTTTCACAGCATTAAAATCATTGTTAACCCTTTGCGGCACAGTGTGTCCGGTCTGGACACACCTAAAAATTTCCTTCTGTACGCACGGAAAAATTGAATGAAAAATGATTTATAGGTTACTATAGGTTACTTTGAATTTTCTTTATTTACAGTAGATGGCAGCTCAATCCAAACCAGTCCATATATTTTAGCCATGTTAGTTTTTAAAGACCCTCATTTTTCAAAGAAATTTTCCAGATTTTTTTAGAGTATAAAAGGAATTTTTTGGAAAGAAATTTCTATGTTATGTTTTTGGCTGTATGCTAATCTCCTTATTCTATATTAGTTTTAAATTTTTACCTTGAAATCTTGCCTAAAATCAAACGGCGAACCCTAGGTGTGCCCAGACCGGGCTCACCGATAATCTAGGACAACTGAGAGTATGTATTCTTTGTTTCTCCGAATCTCATCGGTCAGTTCACTGACAACAATGCTGGTTTCAGCACTCTTTTCGAAGTTCTATTCAATCAGTGTGCCCTCTTCGTGCACACTCACAGAAATAAACGATAAGCACTATCTTCACAAAATTTTACTTGTGTACTCCTCGAGGCATAATTAGACTGCGTACCTTTATTTTAACAAAACTCCGACTTTAAAAGGTAGCGTGCCGGAAAGGGTTAATGGTCATCATAATAATTTGTATCCTACGGTCTTATGTTCTAAATTTGTCCTTTTCCACACAGACATATCTTCCTGGATACATTACCAATGGCTGGAACTGAAGATGCTATTGAACTTATGATTAAAGTACTAGTGAATAAGGAAATTTCTGGATTGAAAGCAAAAGTGTGGCCGGCGTCTTTAGCTTTAATTCCAAAACCTACAGAAAGAGCAGTTGCAGCAGTAATCGTAAGTATCAGTGGGTGATAAACGTTTTCGTCATAACCTGTTGAAGAGAAATAGATTGATAAAAGAAACGGGTGTTATATTTTCATAAAATTATTGTAAAAATATTCTTAATCGTGCTCACGCTTTAGTATTCTTAAATGGTTTAAATGTTAGGGTTAAAATGCTATCAACTCTAAACATCAGCTCATAGTAACGCATTTTTGGCTCTACAGTTAGGAATATAATTTCATTGTTCTCATATGAAAAATAAAATAAAAAAACTGATGATATTTACAATCATAAAAGAAATCGGCATTTCTTTGCTTTGTCGAAAACCGTGAGTTTAGAAAAGTTTTAGATAGTTTTTCTATGTTGCTCATTATCTTATTCCTGACTAAGTGAGGTAATATCAGTTTAAATGGGTTAAGGAAAGAAATAATAGCTATAATAGCTTGAAAGTGCAATATTAGAAATTCACTCTAACAGAAACTGTATTTAATATTACTTTAATATATTATCCAGGTAAAGTTACTTAAGCGCGTGTATCGCAGTTATGCTTCACATAGAAACATGCATAAAGGACTTTATACTTGTAATATACCTATGAAAAACTTGGCAGATTCTTTTATTCTATGGCTTTACTAATTTTTCGATGCTTTTGAAATAAAAGTACTTCACTGTGTACATATTAATACTCCAATACTTATTTTACACACACATAAGCTGATGTAAAATTCTGAATGATCAACACGCATCGCAGGAATATTTTTCTAACTCATATTTGGTATTAAAGTGAAATCTTTACAAATCGTTAATTAAATATACATATACCTTTCAGGTTAATATCATTGAGGAAGTAATTTGTTATAAACAGCGAAGGGAAGTTTTTTTTTCTTACATGAAAATGCAATAAGAACACTACTTAAGCTTTCCTTAAATGTAAACGCAATAAGAATGTCTAATTAGGTTATATCAATGTAGAAACGTGAAAAATGTGCAATGCCCTTTCCAGGGTTCGAGCTGCGGACCTACAGAATACTCGTCTAGCGTTCATCCAGTTACAGCACGAAAGCACGTAGAAAGAAGGGATAAAATACCTTGTACATTTACCCTTTTAAAGGGAGACTGCGGATGAGGGGACCCAATTACCAAATCCTAGTGGTGACGAATTATCTTCCTCCACCTTTTTAGTTCGAGAGTCATTATAGGGTCTTTTATAATTTTGCTGATGTTAGGAAACTGAAGAAACCCGCAATGCCCTCGCCAAGATTCGAAGTCCGGTCCTCCTGAATACAGGTCCAGCGTGCTTCCAGTTACACCACGAAGGCATGCGTAAAGAAGGACATAATACCTTATAAATGTTTCATTTCCCTCTTAGAAGAAAAGACAATAAGAAAGTACCTCGTTACATCTTAATAAAAAAGCAAAAAGAATACCTTATTACTTCTTTAATAAACATTCAATAAGTTCAATAAGTATATTTGATTTTCTCTCAGATGAAAACGTAAGTGGAGAATTAGTTTTATTATGTAAAATAACGTTTTAAATGTCTGCCTACGTTATGGAATGCTAATGTGGAAACAATAAAAAAATGGCAGAAAAATTCCGACAAAAAAGGTTTTCGAATGCTTAGGGGCTTAAAAATAGGTCATATTGTTATTATAATAAAACCTGAACATAAATATTTGAAATCTGATAATTTTTACTTATTTAATCTTTTCTAGCCATTACTGAGAAATGACAAGAGTGGATCTGTACTTCTCGGTGTATCTGTTATGGTTTACAGATTTTGTGCAGAAAGAAATTGCGAAAGGTCCAGACCAGTTCAGGAAATTGTTTCAGTTCTGAACCAAGCAATCGGATCAAGGTGTTCATCAGAAAAAGACAAAGAAGTAAGAGTTTGTTTAATCACTTGCCATATTCTGGCTACTATTCAGAACAACCTAATAAAAATAAAAGACGCTTCTAAAATTAGACATTTTCAGACGAATGAATTTGAAGTTTCTAAGATTAGACAATTAGATGTTTCTTTTAAATTAAAATAAAAGACGAAAATGAAAGCGCGATAAGAATATTATCTCATTTCATTTTCTATTAAATCATAAAGGAAAGAATTAATTAGCTTAAAATTTAAAGAAATGTTCTTTCGTACCTTCAGGATGTCTCACAATAATTTTACAGCAAGTATATCCATAAAACAAAAACATTAACATCTTTTGGCGCAACATACCTTAGTTATAAATGCTTAAAATGGCAGTCTCTAGCAGCAATACATTATTTGCTACACAACATAACAGATCGACAAACAACGAATGTGATTGTAACACGAAGGAAAGGACAGGTATTCTCAATCGCATGTCATTCCACGTCCGTGACTCTGTGAAATGCGCGCTGAAAGTCTGCAGCCTCTTCTCTACATTTCATCTGTTGTTGTTCTTTTGTTGCTGAATTATCTTTTTTCTCAAATCACACTCATTTCTTTCCTCCTCAGACTTGTCTCGTAATCTCGTAACTGTTACATGCGAATGAGTTACCATGAACGAGTGTTAAATTCTGTTCTTCATCGCCTTTGCATTTCTCAACGCTTTCTCCATTTTCCGATAACATTTAAAATTTATTCTACATTCTTCGAAAAGAAATATGTTCACCTTTTGTTATTTTATGCACTCTGATGGGCTATGATGAAATCAAAAGCGATAGAATGCCTATATGCCGGCCATACGCTCAACGTAGATATTGCAGTTTCAAATAAAAAAATGTTCAATCAGCTCATCTTTAATAGTTCCTCTGTTATTAATTTTAAAAACATGTAAACGTTATTTTGAAGCAATATATGTGTTATACGAGGACGATTAAAAGACAAAATATTCCCATCTCTTATGGTCACATCTTTTTTATGCTTTTTTCAATTCACGCAAATTTTGTGACGTACAATTTATGAACAAATTTAAATCTGAAATCCTCAAAACGAAAGTAAAAGAGCAACTCAAATTTAGTGTATAGCGGTTTTTTGAAAACTTACATTTTGTTTAAGACTCAGCTTGCGAGCTCTTGAGGATGATTCATTATTTTTTTTATTTACTGTCACATAATTTAAAGATTACGAATATGATTTAGAAACTTTCCAGCTTTGTGCAAAGAAAACCATAATCAACTTGCAATGAACAATAATTTAGATATAAATAGGTAGTGTGCATTTAATTAAATTATGAGATGGTGCATTTAATTTAAGTACAGAGAGACATAACTTAAATATTGTGCATATGAATATTAATAAATTTAGTGCATTCAATTTAACTATAGTAGTAGAAACATAATGAAAATTAACCTAATTTAGGTATAGATAGGTATAGAGGTGTGATAACACTATTAATTGTTATAGAATGAGTTTTATGGCTACATTGCAAACTAAAGAAAAATTTATTTTTCAGGTAATTTCTTTGCTTAAAGCTTTCGGAAACATGGGTTTTGTTGGTGAAGCTGAATCAAATATCTTGGCATGTGCAAAGGACAGTGACAAACCCGTTGGCTTGAGACTGGCAGCTATTGATGCTTTTAGAAGGCTAGATAAGGTCAGCATATTTAGTACTGCATTTTAATCTAATCTAAAAAAGTCAAGATAGCAACATTTTTGAATTATTTCGATATTTAGTTGATTATGATAAAATGAAAATTTCCGAACTATTTTATGTATCCATTAAATATTAAGTCACAGAAGAAGCAGGATATACACTACCCGACATAGAAAATGCAACACCATGAAGATTCGACCCCATAAATATGTAAATTTTGGCGATTATGTAGCGGAACAAGTCATGCAAACAATGGAAGATGCAAGTTGGTCACGTGATTACAGCCGGAGATAAATGGGAAGGAAACGGGGGGATGGTCCAACAGTCGCTACTGTCTGCTGCTTAGGGAATCCAGAATTTCAAGAAGTTCAATGTTCCAGAAGACACGTGTGAATGACGAGATGGCTGAACGACGACATCTCGGGCAGCTCCGGCAAACGGACGATTTTACGAGGAATCAAGTTGTAGGCTTACGTCGAAGTTGGTCTTATCGTCGTATTGCTGTTATAACGCATGTAGATGTATTCATTGTGTTTAGAATTTAGTCTAGATGGATCGATGAAGGATATATAAATAGTGGCGAAAGACCAGGTCCATTTAGAGGCACTACAGAACGTACAGATAAACGCAATACAATGAGAAGCGATGGCAGCCCCCAAATCGACTAACTACAAAGATTTTGTGGAATGTGCAGGGTGCTTTGGATACTTCAATATCTGGGAGACTATTTTCCCGGCGTTTGCCTGAAAGCGGTTTGCACACAAGCTATCCTTTGCGAAGACTCCCATTAACGCCAAACCATCGACGCTAAAGACTGCGGTGGTATCGTCAACGAGCCACTTGGGCATCTGAATGGCACAATGTGGTATTTAGCGACGATTCTCGGTTTTGTTTGTCTGATTATACTCACCAGTTAAAAGTCTGCAGGCGTCTGGGAGATACAGCCAATCCGACTACTATTTCTGAACGCCACACTGCTCATCATCGCCATACTGCTGCTTAATGGTTTGGGTGCCATCAATCATGATAGAAGGTCCCCCCTGTTATGCATCAGAGGTACACTCTGATGGCACGTTGATACGCTGATGAGGTGCTGCAACCGGTTTTACTACCTTACCTTCAGCCGGCTGCAAAATAGTATTTCCAGCAGGACCAAGTAACACCGCACACGGCTTTGGTTAGCCGACAAGCCTTGAAGCATAGCTCATTGCTTCCTCGACCTACATATCTCTGATTTTTCACCGATCGAGCATATCTGAGACGTGACTGGTCGTCATTTTTCTGGTCTGCTCCACCCGTTATCGGAGGACGAATCCCTCAGAACACAATCCGAACATTAATTGAATATATACCTCGTAGGATCGCACCTTGCGTCGCCGCAAGAGATGGTAATACATCTTACTGATTCCTTGAATATTCCAGCACTATACAAATTTATCTTCCTGTAAATAATGTCACTTATTTACGTATGAATTCTCTGTCTATTGTATCAATTGACACCGCATTCTAATCAGTGGTGTAGGTGTAGGTCACTTACATGGTGTAGCAGTTTCTATGTTGGTATATATTAAAATATATATAGTGTATATTAAAATAGGGTTAAATTCCTATATGAAATAAGCTAAATCCACTGAAATTTGCTTTAAATTTTATTTCGATATTACACGTACTTTATTATTTACTACTTATTCAAACGTCATTATAAAAGAACTGATAAAAATGACAGAAAATATACCAAGCTCTTTTAGTGGTCTCTTGATTAAACTAAACAAAATTTGAAAAGTTGTGAAAACAAAATCTGGCTGAAGAGAAAATTCATTTTTTTCACATTTTAAACTTAGAAATATAAGCTGTAAGACAATTCAGATTGGTTACTCTTTTTTTCCCTTCTTCATTTGTGGCAGGTGTTAAGGTTTGTTGAACATAACCTGTGTTTATAATTTTCTATTTTGTAAAGTCTTGAAAAATAACACTTTTGAATTTTTTATGAAACTAAACTCAATGAATTTTGTTTCATTGTAGAAAAGACCTCAAGGTTTGCTCAAACTTTATGAAGATCAGAGAGAAAACTTCGAAATTAGGATTGCTGCTGTGTCTAGTATCATGAAAAAAGCAGATGCTCAACAAATTGAGGTTATTAAAAGAGTAGCTGAACAGGAAAATGATGTGCAAGGTATGTAAGCCAAGTTTTCTGTTAAATGATGGCGTATGTTCTTCATCTACAATTAAAACTTTCTGGTATAAATTTTAAATTAATTGAAATATTGCTCAATTAAAATGAAGCATTGACATAGATCATCGAGAAACTTTTGGAGGTAAGCAATATATTGACAAAAAGTATTAAACTAAGTAAAACGAAATACAAAAAAAAAAAAAAAAAAAAAAAAAAAAAAACAATATCTATGGAATCAAAGTCTAATTAAAGCAAAAATGTAACCAATTTATTTCACTTCGGTGGGATTATATGACCGGTGGGATTATGTGACCGGTGGGATTGTGGTCGGTAGGATTATGGTTCTTTGCATCTTCTTTTTTGCCAACAGCCGGAGATGTGTTTAGTGTTATGCTTAAATTCTCATAGAAAATATGGTAAAACGTTTAAAAAATCAATACCATCTTTAATTACTTATTGCTTTAAATAATAGAATGCAAAATTATTAGATATCCTGTTCAGAAATTCTTAAGTAAACTAGTTTCTTAGTGAGCAAGAAAAGTTGATTTCTTAAAATGTTATTTATATTTGTAATTAACAATGTGATTTTTAAAAATACGCCTAAAACTATTTACTAAGTGTACTTCATTGAAAATCTAAATTAATTTTGCGCTTTTTTTCAGTTTCCAGCTATATTTCAACACTGATGACCAACATAAAGAAATCCTCATCACCTCTAAAGAAAAATGTGAGAAAATTGTTGAGAGAAATGGAAATCCAATCACCACCTGTTGGCTATTTAGAAAATTCTAAGAATATTGAAGTATCTGCTTTCAGCGAAACATTCAATATTGGTGGTGAGGTAGAAGCTGACATCATTCATTGCTCTGATACGAAAATTCCTCGTTCTATTAACACACGTTTTGATGTGAATGTGTTTGACAAGAATATAAATCTGTTTGAAGTGAGTATATAGCTTCTTCCTTTTAACTATATATTTCAGCTTTAATTTGTAGTTTTTATGTACTAATCTAAAAATGCTCCTTCCCGCATGCGAGTATGCATGCTTCAAGATTCTTGAAGCACGAAGTTAAGAGTTCAATGAAATCCAAGTGCTGCAAGGCTATTCATAGTAACAACAAATTTATGAGAAATACTATAATGCGAAACAGATCTACAGTATAAAAATACACATTTTCCTACAACACAAAATTTTTCTTAGGGGTCAGAATTAATGGAAGATCTGTACGGAACCTATTTTAAATTTAATATCTGTCAAAGTAAAGCAACTCAGCCACAGGTGAAGGCTTAAAACAAACCTTTTTATCAGTTCTTTAGCCTAAAAATTTGAATAAACTGTTTAATAATAGTAAAACGTTCATCTGTTTGGGCGAATAACAACACCAACAAAAAACAAATTGCAGTATAAAAATGTGAACAAGAAAACAAGGAAAATTTGCTAATATCCTTGAAACTTCTACCATAAAATTTAACTTGTACGTGAAAAATTTGAATATTTCAGTTGAAAGTTATTTTCGTTCTTGATGTATTTAAAAATTAATGTATAAACTTTATCGGAAGTATTTATAACAGTAGTTAAGATTCACAGAAAATTAGTAACTAAATATGAATATAAATGTAATGTTACTTTTTTGTTGAAATATTCTTATTCTCGTGGCATCTATAGCAAATAAAAAAAATTTAAATTGCCCAATAAAAAGCAGTATTTTTTTAATTTTAGAATTCCTGTCACTTTAAAATAACAAAGTGCATATCTGAAAAATGCTAAAAATTAGTTTTTATCATTTTAGAATAAATTAAATGCATTCTTAAGGTTTAAGTATCCCTATTGTAGTGTGCTAAAATTTAGTTTCTATCAGAGTTTTAAAAATCATTTACATTTTAATGTTTAAATGTACCGTGTTTCAGTTTGGTGTACGAGCTGAAGGTCTTGAAGCGGCATTCAAGAAGATACTTGGAAGGAAGGACGCTAGTAAACAAAAATCATCAGCCTGGAATTTATTACGCTCAAGGAAAGTAAGTATACAGAATTTATACAGAGTCAAATTTAATGCATTTGTAAATTCTCCAGTATTAAAACTTATTTAAGGTTCTAATGCATTTTATAAAAATCATACTCATTATTAACGAATGTTATTAATTAAGAGCATTTTTATTCTGCTGTACAGTTTCTCAATGATGAAGAAACTGAAGTGTCTCTTTTCGTCAGAACGATGAACACAGAAATATTTGACCTTTCTGCTTCTGACTTAACTGGAGTTGGAGAAATGGTAAAAATTGCAGATGTAATGGAAAAAGTAAGAATCGTTTCCATTAATCCTTGAATTATTGCTTGTTAATTATGTAGAATTTCATTAGAAAGAAATTATTTGGATCATTTGCTAGATGAAAGAATATTTGAAAATTAGATAAAAATGTTTCCTGAAATTAATTAATAACATAATTTATTTCTAAATGCTTTTGTAATCCTGTTCCAAAGAAAACCTGAGACTTCAATATTTTTGATTTTAAAGAGGTATTCTAATTCTTCACCGTTAAAAAAAAATATGAGCTGAAAACAGAGATAATAATAAATTTATATTAATGCCAAAAACAAAATTCTGTACTTTAAATCTTACTAGTCCTTTATTTAAATCCTTTCCTAGATAAGAAAACTAGATTATTATTATATTTTGTCTTCTACGAAAAATAATTAGGATTCGAGATGTAGTCATCGTCTATGCTTAGCTATTTCCCAAAGCAAAATTAAATACATTAAGAATAACAATCATTAATACGTTAAAAAGTTTCGATATCAAGTATCTTCTAGCTGCAATTGATTAAAATAAACTATAGGCGCTTAAGAATGCAAAAACATTTAAGAAAATTGACAATATAGCATTCTTAGAAAGGAAAGTTCCTTTTTATAGATTGTTTATATATTTAGCAGCAAAGAGTTGAATTCATAAAAAAGACTTCCGCAGAAGTTTATAAAAATTACTCATTTATCTTGCATATTTTCTGCTACGATCTCCTTCCTATCATATATTGATTAGATATTTCTGATTTTGCAGCTAGCCGAAGGAAAATCCGTTGATTTCTCTCATAGTTTCCTCTTCTTGAACACGCATTTGATAATCCCTAGTGTAACTGGAAGATCATATACTTTTGGTTTAACTGGTAGTGCAACTGTAGGTCTAACAGCTACTCAGAAACTTGACGTCTTGCAGTTTCCAAGAAGGGCAGATATCCAAGCCCATTTTCAACCAAGGTGAAATTATATTCTGTTAAAAAGAGTTACATCTCAAACAATGATTGCATTTATAGAGCACAAAGGTCTTTACCTATAAGCTGATTAATAACTGATTCAATTTCTAGTGTGAATGTCGAAGTCGCTGCTACAGTTGGAATCCAAACCAGTGTGCCACGACCAGACATGAGAGTTGTCACGCGACTCCACTTAGAGTCGGACACACAAGCTCAGTTCCGCATAAAGGATGGACGTCAAGTTCTTGCTCGTTTCAATGTGCCTTCAGAAAATGTGGTCTTCGCAAAAATAAGGTATTTTACTTCATTAACGTACAGTTGGTTAGACATGTTGCATTTCATGAAATTGTTCTAGCGGAATTTCGAAGGAGCTTTAAATTACTTATTTAATCAAGCTCTTGGTAATGGTTTGGTTTGGTTTATTTAATTATGGCAAAGCACACTAAGTCTATCTGCCTAAGGGGAGGGATGCCTTTTTGGAGGACTTTCTAAGGGAAACTGGCTCGTATACACGTTATACATGGGAGAAACCACGAAACGCTCATGCAGTCAGCCCGTTCGCGGGATTCGAACCTCGGACCGAACTACCAGTGTTCAGCGACTTGACCTCTCGGCCGCTGGTGGGCCCTCTTGGTAATGAATTTAAACCTAAGCGCAATGAGATAAACGTGTTCTTTAGTTATCATACAGAGGTAACAACGACACGCATTTATGGAGATAATAAAGTCATTCCAATGGAAATATTTAAGTTGAAATTAATTTTGCTCAGAGATACAACGACAGCTGCTATCATTCACTTAATGAGGAAAATTATTTTCCTATAATTATAAATATTCCCAGCAAATAAGCAATTATTTTATATATCTGGGATTAACTATATATATTAGAAGGGATTTCCTAAAGCATAATAGAAATTCTTTAGTTAGTGTTTGTTTAATCATAAGCTTCATTTATTTAAATTCCATTTGTAGCTTCATAATAAGTACAGGCGTAGTTTTAAAAATAATTATACTTAAATTTGCTTTTAATTAAACGAAGATTTCACTCTTTTCTTCAGTTAAAAATTTTTCAATTACGCAGAGGCATTTTGCACATGGAGGTAAGAAAGGACTTCCTACCTACCTCCATGATTTTGCATTTAGTTTCCTTTATTATTTTTCAGGGTAGAGTACAAGCTTTTCAACAGCCGTTTACGGTTAAAATTCGAATTCGAGAAAATTTTAGTTTCGTTTCATCTCTAATTTATAAAAATATTCATAAGAATTGTATGAAAATTACTGAGTAGTGCGTGAAAATAGAGTTAAATTTTGATTGTTGCGATCTCATATGCATATGTAAGAAATTGCATTAAAGTAACAGCCATTTTCATGGGCAGAAATTTAAGAACTACTCTGATATGCGCCCTCAAGGCGCCAAATTTCTCGCCAAATAATTTTTTGGCGAGAAACTCCACGCTGCCATATTGCTATCTAAATTTTTTGTCTACATTTCGAACTTTAAGCCTAAAATGTCTCCAAAAACACGGTTTTCGCGAATGCAAAAACCACGTTTGAACACACATTTAAGCTAAAAATCCGAAACAAAAACAAAAAATTTAGATAGCAAAACCGTGAAGTTTCTAACCAAAATTATTTTACAAGAGTCCATGTACACAGCGATATGTTTTAATTTAAAAAACATCTACGAATGGCACAATGTAGGCAACGAACGAATGTACGAACTACGCACACCTCGCTTTAATAAATTAACATAATAAATAAATTTCAAAGAATACCATGTACACAGCATCTTGTTTCAACTTAAAAAAACATCTACGAATTGCACAATTTAGGCAACAAACGACTTTACGAACTACGCGCACCTCACTTTAATAAATTAACATAACAACAATAAATTTCAAAGAATACCATGTACACAGCGTTCTGTTTCAACTTTAAAAAACATCTACGAATTGCACAATTCAGATGGTACGCACTAATCAACAAAATAACTAAAATAAATTTCAAACAATTCAAAAAAAAAGAAAAAAAATAACGACAGAAATTCATACTAAAAAAAACAATGACCATTATATTCTACAAAATAAGAACAAGAATAAAATAAAATGCACTTACCATTAATGCTTTTTCGAAGAGCAGATATACCAATTTTATACCGCCACGTAATCACTAGTATCGTATTTATATGACAGCCAGACACACTATCCAGAAAATTCATACTATGGTTCAAAAATAAATAAAATAACAAATAATCACAAATCCCTACTTCTATCACGCACAACCACTAAAAATAATCTCCCATACCTTCTTTCCACACCTCCAAATACCCATTGCCCCTCAACAGGATGACCACGACGATATTTACTTATGCCGAACTTCAATTCAACAACTTTCACCATTAAATCTTTTCCCCCTAGCTTTTCAGACACAAAGCATGACGGGAACCAACGAACTCCAGCGAAAGACTTTTCAACGTCAACAGGGTTGCTATACAACACGCAATCGCGCCAAAAACCAGCGCAGAACACATATCGCCACATTCGGTGAAATTAGGGCGTATATCAGAGTTGTACCAAATTCTGTTTAACACAAATTCTTTAAAAAATTTTCATTTACATTATCTTTTACATTTAAAACTGTTATGCTCATTTTTAAAATATGGGTTTGAATTATCTGTAAAAATTCCAAATCCTTTAGGGAGTTCAGACGTTTATGATTTCCAATAAATATTCATAATTTTCATATTGTTCATATAATTTGTAAGGACTTAAAAGTCTATGCTTAAATACGTAGAATTTTCAGAAACTTATTTTAAATTAACTACCAGCCAGTCTTTCTGTTTTTCGATCAATTATAGACTTTGAGAAACCACCTGAATGAAACTCAACGAGTTAGAAACTGATTTGCAAAATAAGACTCAATTGTAATTTATTTATTTAAATGTTGGAACACTAAATGCCTAGTTCGGGCACAGATATAATGCTTTCAAAAATGTGGTTAAGTGTTATAATTTCTTAAACATTGATCTTTGGCATGTACTTTTAATGCTTAGTTTCTCAACATATGGTAAAGAATGTTAAGCAGTAGTTTTTCGAAATTGAAAAGTTTCTGCAAAGCTCGGGGCCGCACACAAGATATAAATTGTGATATAAATTGAGATTGTGTGCGGCCCCGGGCAAAATGCTCTTAATTGAACATTGTGCTCGCGGCCTTAATAAATTAAAACACTTAATAAAATAAAATAATAAATTAAAATAATTATACATTAAAATACTTAGAGATGCTTTAATGTGTTAAAAACAAAAGGTTCCGTAGCATTCACGTGCAAAGTTTGGAAATCTATTTGAAAAAAGATTTATTTACACATTTTGCTTGTACTCGCTGATTTCTAAAGTTTTTACCAAGTTTAGGGAAAACTATATAACATAAAAGTATTATTTAGATAAATAATGCTTCGTTTGTTCGTTACTAAGTAACGTCCATTGGATTTTCTGTGGTTCTTGTATAATGTTCTTCGCAGAATTGCAATTCTTCACTAGGCGAAGGTCTCTAATGACGAATGTTACAAGATAGGACGGAACAACCGCATAAAGGCTAAATTTCGTATTTACGACCCCTTTGTTTACAAGTGCTGAAATTGCTTAAAAAAAGCTGTTCTTTATTCCGAGAAATTTTACAATCAAAAGTACATAACAAGAATCTGTACTTAAGGAAACTGGACGGCTGATCAGTGGAGGGTTGTTCTTTTTACGGATGAGTCCAGGTTCAGCCTCCGAAGCTATAGTAGGCGTTATTTGATTTGGAGAGGACATGGATGCGTTATTATTCATCAAACATTTGTGAAACAAATGCATTCGGCGGAGGCAATATCTGTGCTTGGGGTGGTATCTCTTTGGTTGGACGCACATACTTCCATGTCTTTCCACGTGGAACCGTGGATACGTCCATAGCGATGACATCCTTGATGCTTATGTGCGCCCTTCTGCCGGGGCAATAGGTAATGATTTCTTGCTACAGGGCGACCACGGTAGACCGCGCAGGCCTCTCATCGTGAATGATTATCTTCAGCAGCAAACAATTCAGCGCATGGAATAGCTAGCTCTATCATCAGACCAGAATCCTATGAAGCATATTTGGGATGCTTTAGAATGACGCATAGCTGCTCTCAATCCTCCTCTTCAGACCCTTGTCACGCTTGCATGTTCTTTGCAATGGCTGTCACTTCCTACGAAATTGATAGACAGTATAATTGACAGCATCACACATTGCTGTATTGCTTCTAGGGGAGATCAAACTCCATATTGAAGGTAATTTTACTACATCAAACTGACACATCCGATTTGTTCACTTTATACATATGATAATTTCTATAACAACATAACTGTTTGGTAATTTCTCTCCGTGTAATTTTGCACCTTACTATGTGTTGTATACTATGGTTCAGTTCCATTAACTTCTAACCTGTAAACTTTCGAGTAATCATCATTTTACTGGTTTTTCTTTAATTAATGATAACCAGTGTATTTAGAAAATTATTTAAGGAGCATTTGAGTTAATACGCTAGAAATAACTACTTGAAGCGATTTTTGCTTTGGAAAATCATTGATAAATCAAAAAAGTGTTCTTAATGTTTCAGCTCTGATATTTTCGAGGTTGATGCTCAGCAGAATGAGAAACGTGTTTTCAAGGCTATGCAAAAGAAAATTGATTACTGTTTCAATAAACTCGAGAAACCTTTGGGTGTTTCCATCTGCGGTAAATGGGAAGTTCCTCGCCCTTTTTTGACCAGAACATTTCCTTTCATCAGAGGAGTTGGTAGTGTGGAGTTTGCTGTCAAGAAAAGCGATCAGGAAATGAAAGGTCTTGAATTATCCGTAGAAATCCCAAAACGTTTGGTGAGTTCAAAATTTTATATTTTCCAGCATAAGTTCATAATTATCATACTGCTCATCCGATTTGTAAGATGTTAAATAAAATTACATGCTTAAATATGCGCAAATTTCGTTTAAAATAGCTACTAGCCAATCTTTCTATTTCTGAATGAATTAAAGACTTTAGAGAAAATCACTTAAGTGAAACTCAACCTGAAATTATTGCAGATATGTTAAATAAATATTTTTAAATAAATTACAACTAAGAATTAAAGTTTAACGAAATACGCAATCAAAAGCTGACGGTACTCAAACTAATAACAACATAAAGGAATTTGAATTCAATAGTCATGATAACTTAAAGTACTTCAAACATTGGGAAGACCTAGTTAAGTTAGGTTCAATTTAACCTGAACTTAATAACTGAATATTTAAATGTTTAATGCAGAATAATTTCTTAGAGTCTGAACAGTACTAAATGAAATCCAAGTAAAATAATACTGCCGGACTAAAATCGCAGCTATAATTAATTTCCGTCAAGGCAACTCGCACAATAACTACTTCATAATAAATTGAGTACCTTCTTAATATCGCTGTAGTACAGTAGTTCCCAACCCGATGCCCGCAGGTACCATGGCGCCCGTCGATCGTTTAACGTGTTTCTGCTAGTGTGTGAGATCACAATAAAAATGTTTTAGTTTTGAGTAAAATTCTATGTAAAAGTTTTTCTCATTTTTAGTGAAATAGAAATTGCGTCCAACAGAGATACCAGCACAAAGCGAAATGCGACTGATCTGTTTTATGTGCATGTATTATTAAATCTATACAACTATAAATTCACCTTGAAAAAGTAAATGGCGCCCGCCGTCCAACAGATATTCTAGAATGTGCTCTTAGGGACAAAAAGTTTGGGGACTATTGCTTTAGTCATTCTCTTGGCTATGGAGTGAAGAAAGTTCGGAAGAGAAAGAGGAGCATAAATATAAATTTTGAAACCTTTAGTGAGGAAAAGAAAAAAAATAAATACTTGCTTCTTAAAATGACTATAAGAAAAAATGAGGTTTATATGGACAGATAGCATAGCGGTAGATCACACACTTTTAAAGCCTGAAGAATTTCCACATAATGTTCTATACAGGAAAAAGAAAGCTCTTTCATTAGTGTTAAAATAAAATTTTAAATTTAAATAATAAATTTTATTTTCTGTTTTCTTCTTTACAGACTGAAGTGATGCACTACAAAGCATCGCTAGATACTCCAGGCTCTCAGATGTCCCGCCGTTTTGCAGCTGAACTGGAAGTACAGCAACCTGACTCTAAGCAGATGAAGTTCTCCTTAGATCTAACATCACCTTTCAAGAATGCTAGGGCAACAGGTAAATAAGTGTTATTATTTATAGCCTTTCTATTGTTTCTTAAATCCCATTTTTAGGCAACTAGAAGCATTGCAAAATATTAATTTCTACTTTCTTTGTAGGTTCATATAATCTGACACCAGAGGTGGTGTCAGGAGCTTTGGAACTGCACACTAGTTCTTCTCAAATCGTGTCAATTAACGTTTCAAGTGAGATATCTGAAACTCGATCTAGAAAAGTTTTGAAAACTTCACTTGAGGTATCAGTTTCGAATAGACAGCCAGTTATAGTTGAGGGAATAATTGATATCACGAAAGGACGAAAACAACAGATCTCTCTCGATCTGAAATCCAACAAGCCCACCGAGAAACCCATATCTATTCAAGGTGAGTGTTCTAAGTTCCACCTTTTTTTAATACTAGGTATTTACTTCAAAAGCAGAATTATGGAATGTATTTGGACAACCATAAGATAAAGCTTTGCTAATCTTTACTCTTATTATCATGATATAATGAGCATTAACATGCTTTCGATAACTTTTTATATACTCAACAGTAATTAACGAAATATTGATCTCTACTTAAAAAATGGGTTATTAATCCGAAACTGACATATATGATTTTCCATATGTAGTTAAAGAACACGAAATTTTATAACTTGATATTATTATTATATATATATATTTCAAGCATTACAATATATACTAATTAAATATGCTATTTGTGTCAGGCGATTTTAAACCAAATTACGATGATTATAAATATTGTGGCTTCCATATAAGACCAAATATGCTTTTAAATAAGAATATCTTTTTTTCTTTTAGGCATGATAATTAAAGAGGGTCGCCTAGATCTTCAAAACTCTGAGTGGAAAATGACCTCTGATGTGAAGGTCAAAAGCCCATTTTGGAACACGCAGGTTCTTTTGGAGGCAGAAAAACAAACCAAACAAACTCAAACACTTTCTACAAGTGTTGCTGTACATTATCAGAAGGACAGACTTCAAAAACAAACAATAAAACTAGCAGGAAAATTACAGAGAAATTCAAATAAAGTTAACACCTATATTCAGTTTGAAACAACTCAATACCCAGCTGCTAACTGGAACCTCAATTGGAACTTTCAGGGAAAACTCAGAGAAACAATGAAAAACGATATCAGTCTAAAGTACGGTGGTAATCCTGAGCGTACATATGTAAACGTTCTCCAATCATGTCGTTCCGACGGATGGAGAAATGGTGAATTCCAACTTTCTGTAAAAGCCCCGCAATTAGGCATAGACAATGATGTTAAAGTATCACGTGTTCTGGAGCCTCAAAACATTAAAATGGAAGCAAATATCCGATACAAAGCTGATAGACGCATAAAGACTCTTATTAATTTGGACAAAGTGTCAGAAGCACCTGTGCAAATAAAAGTGAATGCTGAATTAGAATATCCTGGAAGAAAACTAATATTACAAGACGAAATTGTAGAAATTAGTCCAAATGCATACCAAGGAGACTTAGTGCTACAATGGCAGCAAGACAAGCAAGCAGAACTTAAATACAAGTACCAAAATCTGAATAAGGAATCTAAATATCATCAAGAAATTGAAGCCAGCTTACGACTTCCCAATCGCCAGAATCAGATAAAGAGCAAAGCTACATTCCAACTCATGCAAGATAGTTTATACCTTGAAAATCAATTAATTTTAAACAGAAATTCACAGTATTTAGTTCGCACTCATTTGAAAAGAACTGGAGTTAGTCATATGGATTTGAAAACACCTAAGATTGATGCAAAATTGAAACTCATCAATGATGATGAAAGAAAAGCAGCTGCTATTGACGTGAAATTTAAGACACGCAGGTCCCAACACATCACTGCAACAGTTGGCTTGGATTTAGGACAGAAAACGAAAGTAGAAATTGAAGCCACTCTGGATGCAGATCGCAGACCGTACAAAAAGTTTTATGTCTCTGCTGAAGTAGAAAAGACGCAAAGCCGTTCTGGGAATTTGTACAAGTGTAGCTGTAAATTAGAATGCTCAGACATTTTGAACATTCAGTTTACTGGATCAGGTGACCTTTCTGTGTTAGGAAAACATGACGTTTCTTTAGATGCTACAGTCAGGAACTTAGATCCCATAAAACTTATCATTCGGCAAGAACTTACCAAACATTTCATCAAAACATCAATAAAAGTCTCAAAACGTAATATTGATAAGGCTCTAATTGAACTCGAAGGTGCATTTCAAAAGCGTTCTAGGGAAACTGAAATATCGACTAAGTTTTCACTGAAAGCCTTAGACAGTTCTTTTGAAACTAAGGAACTGGAAGTGAAATATATGTTCTCTCGTACAAGTTCTTCTTCATCAATAAAATCAGAAATGCGATTACAGCGATGTCCAGGTAAAGTTTATGCTGGTGAAATTGAATGCGATATGAAATCTAGTTCCATGCAGCTGAAAGCATCTGCGCAAACACCACACATTAACTTTGAAAAGCAATCGCTAAGCATTTCTTTCCAAAGATCTAATTCAGCAATGTTATCAATAGTGCAAGTTCAGCTTCCAAATAGGAAAGAAATGTCAATTTCTTCCGATGTTAAGAAAACAAGATATGGCTTAATTGCCTCTTCAGTGCTCAGTTCACCTTTTGAAGCCGTAAGAAATGCTAAAGTACTCTTGTCTTTAGACACACAGGCAGCTAAAAACAGCTTAATGACGTATATCGATGTCAATGAAAAACGTGTATACGATATGGAGTTAAGAAAAACTGTATCATCACAGGGGATGGAAATGGATGCTCAAGTTAAAATTCCATGCCGCAAATTCCAGTCCATCAGTCTGAATATGCGAAGAGTTGGCGACTCATTCATGTCATCTTGCAATATGGAGCTTGAGAAGAATAAGGTAATTTCACTACAGTCTGGCATAGAACGAAAACCTCAAGGCATTAGCATTTCTTCCAAAATAGGCTCTCCCTTTAACAGGCTAAAAGATGCAGAAATGAGTATTTCCCTTTTAAATTCCCCATCTCAAAAGACGCTTTTATCGTACATTAATGTCAACAGTCAACGAAAAGCTCTTGCTGAAGTTAGTTACAAATCAATGAACAGGGGGGCAGAAATTTTAAGCAGCTTTTCAATTAAAAACCACTCAGTGTCTGGAATTGCTAGTTTAATTAAACAAACAAATCTTCTTACTTATTCTCTCAGTGTCCATAAAGGATCACAATCCTTATTACCAGAAAATTTGAGCGGCGAGAAAACAGGAAACAAACGTTTGCATTCAATGCAAAGGCAAAAAATATCTTTGGTAGATGTAACGCTTTCAAAAGAAACTTCTGCACAAAATTCTAGATTTGTTTTTAAAGCTCAAGCACCATTTATGCCGCTTTCTCTAACTGTTCAAACAACGCGAAATGATTCAAATTCCTTATCTGCAGATGTCCAAACTTGTTTCGGATCAGAACAGAAAGCATGCTATAATGCAAAATTTTACCAAATAGCTTCAGTTAACTCAGACAACTACCGCCAGTATAGGAAGATCACTTGCAATATAGAGAAGCTGACTAGGTCTAAAGCTGAGCCTTTCGGAAACATCGTTATTTCCTATGGCCTTGGAGACAATGATTTCAAATCAAAATTAAATGTTGAAATCTTAAACAAAAGACTCGGTTATGAAGTAAAACTTCACAGAAGACATCATGAAAGAGAACCCTGCTCAATGGAGACGGAGTTGCAACTTATGAATCGTACAGTTATCGTTCGAAGTAGTGCTCTTCATAATTCTGAACAACTGCTTATAGATTTCGATGTCACTCCTGATGCTACAGTGCCTACTCGCAAGTACAGGATTGAAGTGAAAAAACACCATTCTCAGCGTGATAATGAAATCTCCGGCCATCTGAAATTGTCAAATCCTAATATGATAAAAGTAAGCTTCAAAATTTTCTGTTAACGTTGAAATTTCAAAATACACATATTTTACTATGACCTTTATTACAAATACCAAGCTGCAAAGATGTGAGTTATCGCAGTATTCGTACAAATACGTGATTATCGATGACAAAGCCTGGAAAGGAAATACCACTTTCGACAAGATGTATTTATTTTGCCTCCTTATAAACATCATGAAAATACGCTGATTGCTCACACTGATTATTCTTTGGAAATACTTTTGCTTTATATTTTTTGAAAGTCAAAAATACTGTAGAGACATTAGGATTTTTTGGAAGCCAGAGAGATGAAAAATTAGCAACCGCCTTCGCCGGGAATCGAACCGTGGACTTCTGGAATACCGGCCCAGCGTGCTACCGTTACACCACGAAGGCACACTAGGAACGTGGCAGAAATACCTTATAATACAAAGCCCTAGAACTTCTTTAAATGTGTGAATTGAAGTAAGAATGCCTAAAACCTCTTCTTTTCCTGTTATTTATTACCTAGATACCATCAAGTGAAGTAAAACAGTTGTAACTAAGGACAGGTTAAAATAATAAGTATATCCCTTTAAAATTTCTCCCTGAGTTAATTTTCAGGATTGACTTTGTTTTCAAAATTAGTGTCTTTGTTTAGTTCATTTGATTACGGCATATCTAAATTACACATGGGAAAAACCATGAAAACATCCATACAGCCAACCCATTCGCTAGTTGAGCTCAGACCAAATTGTAAGTGTTCAGCGACTTTACCGCTCAGTCGCTGGTGGGCCCATAGTAGTGTCCGTACAATAAATAAGGAAACTTAAGTTAGGATTCAACAGTGTATCAAATTCATGATTCCACAAAATTTCAAATCTTTAGCTTTTAGCCGAACGACGCGTTGTGAAATGTTTCTCGGATGGTTATTAACTTAACACTTCAAATCGTTCAACAAGAATTTTAAGAATTTAGCTACCTCACCTTCCAATTACTAACACTAATTTCTGAAAATCTGAGAGCGACCTACACTCTGTTGGGAAAGGTTAGAATGTGTTCCAGGCACCCATTTAGATTAATTTTCCTTCGGCTATATCTAAACTGTCTGAGAAAACTAAGATAAGCTTTCACTTAAAATAACAATTGTTGTGTTTTTGAATCATAGAATTCAGAAACTATTCATAATACATTGCAATAATGGTATGCATTGCTTTCGTTTTAGCCTATTTCGCTTGAAGTTTCCGTTAGGAAGGGAAGAATGATTCCCGTAGAAGCCAAAATTAGCCTACAGTATGCTGCGTCTCCACAAAAAGTGTTGACTTTAGAAATACAGCCTGAAGGACAGAATGCGGCCATCAAGCTTTACAGTGAAGGTGAGAATAATTTCATATATGAAGAGTGACATTGATTTAAGCAATAAGTTTAGAAACTATTGTATTAAATTAGCTCAAATATTTTCCCTATAAAATCAAAATCATTGAATTTTATTTTCCTCTCCTCCATACAGACAGAAAGATTGACGCCATGGTAAAATTCTTGAAGGATAAAACCGAGAATGAAGACAAATACGGGTATGAATGGAGGTACAAATCAAAAGCTGATACAAAAAGAGGAGGAGTTGCTGTTGTTATCTCTCAGAGAAGAAGGGGAATTCCAATGAACGTTGACGTCCTGGTATGTATAGAGTAGGATGAATCTATGTGTTACTATTTAAATGCTCAAAGCAACGAAAGCAGTTACGATAACTTCAGCTTCTAATATAGTGTTTGTCGCATTTAAAGTCTTTCTAATTTTAATGAACTCGCTTTAAATAATTTAAGATTTTTACTAATCACCCTTTATAATACAAAATATTTAACTCTTTACTACTTGACAAACCACAGAGAAGTCAATGAAAAACATTCGATTAATGAAATTAACGAAATTTCTGTGGGAGAGAGAAGAAATTTTATAATCGTGTCAATTAACTGAATAAAAAATTATAATTGTCATGATAATTTCAGTCAGTTACTTTTCCCACTGATGAGACAGCAATAAGAAATGCTTACACTTTTCTTAATTTTTATTGTTATGTAGTGATACTAGCGGAATTAGGAATACTAGAGAGTACTTTCATCATAAGAAGCTTTATATAAAACTTGGTGTATGTTTAAAGTATTTTCTTTCAAATTATTGAACAGTCTGACAATATTCGTGCTAATAATGACATTTATTTCAGTATTACACAACAAATACTGACCTGAGAATTTCTGGTCGCTCTGTAAGATCTTCCCGGGAGGCACCCGAATTCAACATAAACATAGTATCAAAAGGAGAGATATTATCAGAAATTAGTATCAGAACGGAAGAGAAATGTGCAGAAATTGAAATTCAAAGAAGAGGTCTTTGTTTTGAATATTTCAGTTTTTTTATAAACATATTCATGATGTGAGTTACTAATTTATTTCGTTTTACAAACTTCTAGGTCCTTTCATGAAATGTCAGTTATGCATTAATAAACGTGGAAGTGAATCGCTTAAACTTATCAGTTTAGCTGCATTCTACCGGGAACGTAACATCCTAGATTTTAGTGTAGAAGTAGATTCCGAAAAGCCAAGAATTGCCGAAATTACACTCAATTGGAATAAGGATAACTTACTGCGTGTTTTGGTAAGACAAAGATTACATGCCTTTCCTATTTATTACACTGATTACAAATATTAACCCGATCGTTTATTCTTCTATATTCACGTGAAATGATAAGAATATTTCAAATGTTGAATGCAGAAACAAAAATTTTGTATGATAAGCTATTGTAGCTGCTCATTACATATTCTGATTACGAATTTAAAACACTTGACTAACAATAATGCTGCAGGGTAATTTACAATGAAAACCCCACTTTTAGTTTGAAACTAACTCACGTTTGGATTAAGGCTCAAGTTAATTATTGAGTATTTATCTTGGGTAATAATTTCTAATCTTGGTTCAAAATGCTTATAAAAATTTAGAATGCTCCAAATTAAAGGACCCGATTAATATAGTCTGGAGCTCTAAGCACAGCAGTCTTGCAGGATCCAACATACGTCCACTTTCCAAGTACATTTGTGCTTTTGCGATATTAAAACTTTCGTGCGTCGAAATTTCAAATAGTTTATGAACTTGCTAAAAAATAAAGGAATATAAAGGAATTATCTTCTTTCCCCGAACATGATCTAGTGGTGTAAATGGTAGCACTTCCATTTTGTTCTAGGAAGGAAGGAGCTTCGAGAGGATGTATGATTTTACATGTTTCTCTGCTCTAAAAATTCTTAATAACTTTTTAATAGTGCCATGACTAAAAAAGGAGGTTGAAGATAACTCTTCACCCCCTGTATTTGGCTGACTGGGTCTCGTTTCCCTCTCTTCAGTTGTCCAGGTGGGGAAGAATGTAATTATGGCTTTTCTCGGAGGGTAGTTTTGTAGTGTAAATGGTAGCACATCCAGCTAGCAATCGGAAGCCTGGGAGTTTGTATTAATCATGATTTTACACTTTTCTCGTTACAAAAATCCTAAATACCTGCAAAAACTTATATTTAGTCTTTTATTTTATATGATTTAACAATAAATAAATACAGAGTGTTTAAAAAAGAATCATACTTATTCAGCTTTTAATCCGCCTTGATCGAATAATATAAAAAGAGGGAAATCTCAAGTTTCATGTAGGTTGGCGACTGGTAGCGCTAACGCTCTTCTTTCCGTGGCCACGTCAGTGTTTGTCTAGATGGTGACTGCGCAACAGAAATTGTTTTGTGTTCTGCGCCTCGCGAATATGAGTCCATAACAATTTTTCAGCACGATTTTCGTCTACCGTTCCCTGGTGTCCAACGGAACACCCGCCATTAGGAGATGGTGCAAACAATTCCAAGACACGGGTTGTCTTTCTAAAAGAAAATTACTTGGCCGTCCCGACAAGTCAAACGAAAATGTGGATTGCATCCGACATAATTTCGCACACTGCCCACCGAAATCCACTTGCCGTGCCGGCAGGAAAATAAACACACCTATCAGGCGTGTTTTGTGGCGACGTTTGTCAGGATTCTATTGCTGCAAGTTCTTTATAGAGGTGACAAAGAACGACATGCGGAGTTTTGTGAATTCATTCTTCAGAATGTATTAAAAGATGATAATTTTATTACCCTTTGTGTTTAGTGACTAGGCTACATTTTATCTAAGTGGTAAGGTCAACCGCCATAGTGTTAGAATATGGGTTTATGAAGCAGCCACGTCAAATTGTACAGCATGAGAGAGACTCGCCAAATGTTAATTTTTTTGCGCTGTTTCCCGGTAAAGGGTGTATGGTCCTTTTTTTTTTCATATAGGCCACTATGATGGGATTCATCTATCTCGACATGCTTGAAAACTGGCTTTCCTACCATTAGAAACTGACTCGGATGAGTTCGTTTTTCAATAGGACGGGAAACACTACACTGGAGCTTGGACGTTCGAGAATTTCTCTAAAATCGCATTCTCTAATGATGGATCGAGATCTGACGATCAGTTAAATGTCACTGATCTCCAAAACTACAGGATCTCTCAGTGTGCGATATCTTCTTGCGGGGGGTATATAAGTCTCCGTTTATGTGTCTCCACTTCCAGCTACATTACCCGAACTGAAGATATGTATAACAGCAGCCGTGGAAGCAGACATGCTCGCAAAATTTGGGGAAAATTTGACTACAGTATAGACATATGCCGTATATAAAAAAGCAGCGTATATCCAAAATCCATACTGAGCAGCATTAATTTGGTGTGTAAAAGAGATTTATGATTAGCCAAAGGAAAAGTTAATCATAAATTTCTATGTTCAATGATTTTCATAATATAAGCATTTCAAATCGGGAGATTCTTTTTGAACACTGTATACTAATTGACATACTTGACGATAATCAAGAACTATATAATTTTCTACATAATCATATTTTTTGTAGCATGTATGAGACTATTTTTCAATTAGCTTTTTAATAATCTTTTACCCCAACAATAAATTTATTACTCAAAATCGTAATAAAACATAAAATTTAACTGAGCAACTTATATTTTCCATAAGATAAACTAATGATCTCGCTTTGATTTCTATAGGAAGAGTTAAAGAACATCGCCAAATTTTTCTATGACCGATCCCTTTCCGAAATTGAAGAAGAAATCATAAAGCACATTAAGGATTTCTGGTATAATGTTATCAAGCCAAAACTTGAAGACTTCCTAGACTGGTATCAGGAGCAGCTGGAAAAAGTTCTCGATAGTTTACGTGAAGCTCTTAGTTTGCACTTTCCTTTGTGGGATGAAATTGTAAATCTAGTGAAAGATCTCCTAAGTTACTTGAAAACATTTCTGAAGGAATTACCGTAAGTTTCTGAATGGAAAGTTGTATCTTTCGAACTCACATTTATATTTCGTAAAGGTATTTTGTAAAATAATATACAGTGGAGCACTGTTTATACATTTGTCGTTTATAAGGCTTTTAGATTTATACGTCGTTTCTCCTTGGTCCCGATTCAGTCCTGTTTATTTTAACAGTAAAATATTTCTTTTATTTGTCGCACGGCTTCCGTTATATGTCGCCTTTGTTTGACTTACTGCATTAGTTTTACGTTTCGAAGTCCCTCCGTTAAAATATTTTTCCGAGAAATGGAAATAGAAAAAGAAAACAAAGGCATGAGACATTACAGTCTGGCACACGAGTTGAAAACCAATTCATGGATCGAAGAGATCATTGGAAAGAAAAATAGATGCCTTTATTTCTTCCAAACAGGATGCTGTGTTTAGTAAACATTAATGGATACAAAACTGAGCAGAAAAAATTTATACGAAATGTCACGATGGCGAAAGGCACTCTCGTTAAAAGATAAAATTCAAATTTTAAAAGTATTTGATGAGAATATTGGTTTTGAGGAAAGGTGAGTTAGCAATGAAACGGGATATTCCTGTGACAACACTAAAAACGATCGAAAGAGGTAGCATTTCAACTGAATGCGAAGGAAGCTTGCTTTTCAACATGATGGCTGCATAAATTTAAACTGCGACATGAAATCTCATGACATAAATAAATGGAGAATCAAAAAGCGTCCCAATGTCTAGTCGGTTGAAATATTTATCCACCACAATAGCTGTATATGAATTAAAAGACATTTTTAATGTTGATGGAATGCCTTTTTTTCCTTAAAATTTATGCCTGAAAGAACCTTAGCTTTCAGAGATATCTCGATGACACTAAACCTTAGCTTCAGTGTCATTGAGATGAACAGCGTAAAAAAATTCTCACTGTTTTACTCCAGGAAAATGCTAATAGTACCAAAGAAATGACTACTTTAGTTACAGGAAAGTCACAAAAACCAAGGTGCTTCAAGCATGTTAAAATTCTGCCATTAGAATATAAAGCAAATAAGAAAGCATACATACCTACCGGCATTTTTACAGAATAGCTAAAAAAATAGACAAACCCATAAGGAGATAAAACCGCAAAAATTTACATTCTATGGACCAGTATACAAACGACAAATGTGGAAATAGTTTTCTTCCCGGCATATTGCACGAATGTATTAGATTTGGGTATCGTTATGAATTTGAAAATTCTCTACAGGCAAAGGTTGATTCAAATAGTCCTGCAAAGTATACTACAGAAACTACATATAAAAACTTATAAATTCTTTGAGGCTATGAATAGGATTTCACTTGCGTGGATTAAAGTAAAACCACAGACAATTAAGATTGCTCCATTAAAGGGGAATTTCGGACCTAGAGTCAAGTATTGATGGTGAAATTATGATAAATACTGAGATTATTGATGAAGAAGAATTAAAATTACTGGGACTAGATATTACAATCGAGGAATACATAAACTGAGATGCCAATGCAATGACATCAGACTTATGCACAGTTGAAGAACTAATTGAAAACATTTTATCTGATGCATATTTAAGAAGCTGGGATGAAGAAGCAAATGAAGAAATAATCCCACCTTCTTCTCAAAATGCTATCTACTGTACTGAAATCCTCAAATTTCTTTGTGTAGTAATACAAACGAGAAATTATTTCAAAAACTGTATTCGATTCATAGCTCTTTGCTTAAAATTCAGAATTAAAGCAAAAGTCAGATGACAATTAAAGATTTTTCTTTAAAAAAAGTTAAATTTTCCTTTAGAACATTTTCTTAGGGAAAAATTTTACTTTTTCAATATAGTAGTTCAAATAAGGACATGACTTTTTTTCCCAATGCACTAATGTAACTAATCACAGGAATTTGCCTTCTTATGATTTGAAAACATATTATATTTGTATTAATACCTTTTTTAAAATATTAATTATAAAAAATTGTTAATATTGTTTAATTACTTAAAATACTATTATTAATTAAATATTCATTTTAATATTAATTTTAAATTTGTTTCAACATAATTAATATCAAACAAATTGAAGGTACGATAATACAATAATGTAATACCGCTAATAGCTTAGTAATATCAAAATTGTGCAGCTAATTACATATGCAGCTAAATTGTGCATTTTATTACACACACACGCATATATATATATGTAATAAGATGACTTGGAAAAAGAAAGTTGCAACGAATTGAAGATGGTTCTCTCCATTATAATTTGAAGAGGCTTTACTGCATAGTAGAAAGATGACACTCGAAGAGAGACATGTAATGGAAACAAACGTAGAATTAATAAACAGCAGGAATTTTGATGGCGTAGAAATGTTGATCCACAATGAATAGGACACTGGCAGCCGAGGCACATTAAATCTTCATTTTATTTTCAGTAAACATAATGCGGCCACAATCAACCTGGCACATTATTTGTGCCTATTTCAAGAGATTTACATTTTTGATAACTTTACAGCAAGAATGAAGCAGCAGACACGAGTCCAGCTAGGCCGACGAACAGAAAGGAAGTGTGTTATGTTCAGGGTGAAATCTTAATTCAGACTCAGTTAGTTTTAGTTCTCAATACATTGTGATGAGATAATTAATATTGCAGCAAAATTGCTATTAGCTATTGAGTTTTAATTTCATTTACATTATCAGAATTATGTAAGAGTCATATGACATGGATCAATCTTGAAATGACTCAGTGCAAATAGAGACTACTATTTTTAGAATACAGAGTGGAAATTAATTTACGTTGCTAATTTAATCTTTTACATATTGTATATTTTTGTGAATAGTTCCTTGAAAGACATATAAGCCGTGTTCTACTGTATTAATTTATTTTTAAAATATTCTGCAGTGCCATTTTTTAGGGGGGAGAAAACTTGATTTCTATCGTTATGTTTTCCTTTTTAAATTTTGCCAATTTAAATTCTTATAATCAGCTATGGAACTGTTACAGCTAAATTCTTAAATGATATGACATTTTAATTTGTTAATGGATGTAGAGATAAACTTTTGGATTCGATGCAAATTTTTTTTTCAAATTGTGACTTATTTTGGAGGAAAAAAATGGTATTCTCCCAATAGGCGATCTACTTTTCTTAACTGTGTAGTTACATTACAGATGGATAGGTGGCGCCACAAAAGTTTTGTTTTTAAATTTTTTTTCTTCCGCCATTTTATTCAAATCTGCATGATCAGATTCATTATTATTTAATATTAATAAATTTTTTTACGTTTTGCAGAATATTTATTTCTTTTGCTGTGTTTTATGCTGTGTATAAGGAAACTCAGTGTGCGAATAAAAGGGTGAAACTTCTTTTTTTAATCAGATTAGCTGGTTTAAATATTTCAGTGAATTACTCGATATAATTATAACTAAACGTGAACCCCTAAATGTTATGAATATAGATTATATCAAGAATATCGCGCATGTAGTGAATGAAACAGATAAAGGTAAGACAAACTACACCCGATTTTCTACTGCTATATTTAGTTGCTTCAAATCATATTTACAAATACTTTGTTGTAAGCTGAGTATTAAAAAGAGAGAGATAATGAATTTATTTAATTTGTTCTTATTTCAATTCTTTATAATTTAAACGTAGAAAGAAACAGTTTTCTATTTGAAAGTAAATTGGTAACAAAGATTTGAAGACAGAATTTAAAAATATTTTTGCAAAATTTAAGAGAAAGAAACGGTAAGCATAAACATTGCTTTTACAAACAATAGTCTGAAAAAAGAGGTAACGCCATGTAGTATAAAACTGATTAACTAACTAACGAAATTCGGTAGATCCCAGCTGGGACAATACCAAAAAAAAGTTTTTGGCAATAATTATTAAATACTGTATTTTACTTTAGCTGTTTCTTAATAAAAGAATGTTTTTCTCTGTTAAAGGCATATTAGATCTCTAAAGGAATTCTTAGAAGACTTGAAAAAATTTTGGGATTCGGTAATTCACAGAATCCTTGGAATCATTTTTGAGCATGTACCTGATGTCGTGAAAGACATATGGCAAATGACAAGAGCTGACTTAAAGAATTGCCTTGAAAAGATCTGCAGGCCTGGATCAATCTGTGATGATTTGAGACAAATTTATGAGAACTCTAAAGCTAAAGGGGTGCTCAATTATCTTCTCAATAAAATCTCTGAAAAAAGGCGTTCTTTAATGGAATTGCTTCCCCAAGGTAAGCATCAATTTGAAAATTGAAAAAAAAAATTGCGCTTTCATTGCTTACACTTATTTCGTTGAAAGATTTTCTTACGATATTACTGTTTCACAAATTTCTCGGAAATATTTTAAGTGGAGTAACAAATGGTTATTTCAAAGTTACTTATCTCGTCACATGAAGAATCGTAATTCATTAATGTTTTACTTTAAAGCATTCCACACTTCAGTGTGCATGGCTAAGTTCAGTATTTCTTCTGTAGAGTCGTTATTATAAAGCTTTGTGTCAATTCACGAAAAATAAAAGTTGAAAATTCAAATGAAAATAGTAACTTATACCATAACGATACTAACCGTAAAATAGCTGCAAATTAATACCATTTAAATAAAACACTTTCAGAGTTGTTATAAAACTTACTCGTTTTAGGGAGCATAAAATGCAAATCCTACTGAAGATGAAATAGCGATTTCTCGCTATGTCTTGGGGGAAAAAACAACATATGGTTGCCAACGAAGGTTAAAATAAACTTTTTTAATTTAACTAACTACTAACTAAACAGAACATGCACTCACTCGATGCTCACAATTTAACCACCACTTGTGGTTAAGTAACTTAGCAGAAAATAGTATGAACGATAAGAATGAATTAAATATTAACACCACGACTGGCTCCTGCTCAAATCTAAATCTGTTTTATCCGCTGCACATAGCAAAGCCGAGTATAGAATATTAATATAAATTCAAGTAAGTGGCTAGCACAAAATATTCAGCAACAGAGCTACTCCGCAAACGCGCAGCATAAACTCGTAACTTTCTACCGTTAACTCAATTCTGCTACTTAAATACTATCTCCGAGCTCAATAAGATTTGCATATACGTCATTCAAATTTGTATTATGGTAGGAAATTGAAACCAGAAGGGAAAGGAAAGTTAATAAAAAGTAATTGATTAGTACAAATTAAGGTCTTTATGTTATAGTTAATAGAATGCTGTGCTGAATGTTCAAAAATTAGATTTACCCAGCATTCGAAAAAAATCAAGTTTTATTAATCAAATGATTAGTTTGCTCTCAATGAATATGACTATTAATTAAACAAGCTGAATTAGGAATTAAAGTCATTGGCTTCTTCTGCCATTTTATTAAGCGGTTGTTCATCAGACATTTTTATTTCGAAAGAAATAGTAGGAATTGTATTTCTCTACTTAAACCCCAATCAGCCGATTTACTACAACGCTTATTCTAAGGAAGAAAACACGAGTTGTTTGAAAGCTTGTATCATTTAAGAGAATGAATAAATTATTGTTTTAGAAAAGAATAAATAATTTCATTAAACAGTATGATATTTTTGAAAGTAAAATGCCTAGACATTTTAAATCATATTTATGAATTTCAAATGTATTTACTACCTTCTCGTCAACTTAACCTAAATGTCTTTTTAACTTTTTCTTTTGTGAAAGGCTTACCTGATATAAAGGATTTAATCCGCAAAGCTATACGCATTGCTGAATCGCAAATCAAACGGATATTCGGTGATTTGGTTGGAGAGAAGATAATCTCAGTCGTCAAGGGAGATATACTGGAAGTGGAATCATTCTTGAGAGGAAGGGTAATAGAACTGATAGATAATATAATGAAGTACATTGATGACCTTTTGGAATCGGATGAGGACCTTCAGCTTCTAAAATCAGTTATGCAGGAAACCAAGCAAAACGTAAGTTACAAATGTTTTCTCAGCAGTATGGTTGAAACGTCTATAAACTAATGTTCACTGGAAAGCACTAAAGCCAAATACTTTTCATATATTAAAATGATTCATATTTTAAGCATCAGTTAATAATTTCAAATCAAAACTCATATAGTTATGTCTAAAACTAAATTTAAACCTCAACTGATTTGTTTTTAACACACCATTAAATGGTTAATGTATAGAGCTTTTTCTTTTGGGGAGCGTAAACTAACGAGTAAAGAATTTTACGAGGAATTATCCCCAGGTCTTAATGAAAACAGAAAGTCAGAAGAAGGGTGTAAAGGACCCATTATTCAATCAATAGAGTTACACACATAGCCCCACTTGGGCTTACATAAAGCCAACACTTCTGGCTCAAACAGGTGACGTTGAACTTAAAATGTTTTAAATTTAGCCAAATGCTTACAGGATAATCGTGCAGGAAGTCCCTGACTCGTAGAAGTCGGCGGAGAAACAAGCCTAATGGCTAGAAACACTCAACGCCACAGCAATCTAATCGCTAGTAAATCAAAATAGCAAGGTGGCATTCAAGCAGGCGTAACACGCTCTCTAAATTCACCTTCCAAAACTTTTCTTTAAACATCACTTCTTTCTACCTCATTTCAATACACATGCGCTAGTTTATTAACAGTCTGGCAGAAAAGCGTGGGTGAAAACGAGAGTGAAAGAAAAGCTGCTTTAACTAAACATTAACTATTAATAAAATTAAATAAAGCTTCACAAATGTTACATTTTTGATGGAATATAAACGTAAATCTTTTTTTTTTCTTTACGACGTAATTTTAAGATTTAAAACAACGATGAATTCAGACTTTTAAACTTTGCTGGATTACAGTACGAGTCATAATCTGGCTACATACTTTTCAGTTTTTCGCTATTTTTTAGGGATTACTTCAACATCTGATATGCTTTACAAAATGTTAAATCTGCTCATTCCTCTAAGTACTTCATTAAGTAACAAACATTTTATTACTTCTCACAGTTCAGTTTTTAAAACTGAGCTTAGTTAATACTATTTAACATTTCGGAGAATTTAACGAAACACTACTTAATACAGATATAACTTAATTAAGCAATCGAAAAATATCATAAAAATGCAGTTTTGGAATTAACATAATTAAATAACATTATCACATTTAAATAAATTTATTAACATAATATTAATACATAAAAGCACATGCAAATTATGCTTTAAATCTCTTGATTTTTCTCAGATCACTTATCTTACTCCAGAAATTGTTTTAAATTTGAAGTATATGTATTCGAAGTGTTGCCAGATTATAGTAGCTTACTTATAATGAACAAAAATATCTTATGAGGAAAACAATTAGAATTTTTACCCATCTCATTCTGTGAGTGGAAATCAAAAACAGAATTCATCTACACTTTTTACACTGATTAATATTTTTGAATTATTTATAGGCTGTGAATGCATGGCAAAATCGAGAGAAAATCGCACGAGAAATGTGGCAACCGGTGCGCGTACGAGACTTGAAGCATACCCTAAACAATGGATGAAAGAGAGATTAATCGTCCTACAATTCAGCCCGAGAAGAGGAAATATTACAGTCCAATTCCAACATCCCTTTCATCAAACGCAACTTCAAGTAGCCCAAAATCTACTTTCAGCAGCTAAAAGTAAGTAATACAGAATATTATAATCTCTCTGCGAATACACACATATGCATGGATTTATTGTTCAGTATCTCAGCTTATTCGACAAATTTCTTTTTTTCATAGGTAAACTTCTTTCTGTCTTTCAAAGCTAGGATGTTATTATAGAATTATATTTGGAGGAAGCTGAGTGCACTGGATAGCATTCTTCTTTCTTGGACTTTTTATATGTTATTTAAAATATGCATGTTCTTGTTTTCTGAGTCACTAAGTGGAGACCTTATTTAATGTAATTAAGCATTCTGTACCTTTATATGTATAATAAAAATACAAATATTAATACTTTGTTTTTACAAACATTTTACTGTATGTGTCTCTCTCATTTACGTCATTTATTACATATTGCAATAAAACAAAAGAAATGAAACAAAATTGAAATGTAATTTCTCTTCTCTTATAATTATTCAAATACAACAGAGTTTCGATTATTTAAGGTAAACATCAAGAGTAATTTCTCCTATCTTATAACTGTTTGCAAATATAGTAGTGTCTGGAGGATTCGACATAAAGAGAACAGAAAAACTTGTCTATTAAAACACTTACTATCAAAATGCAACTGATAATTTGGATATGTCTTAATAGTTAAATTTTTTGTTCTTACTAAAATCTTAAATTTTATGAGCATTTCGTATTTATGCCGGAAAGAAGAATAACATTATTTCTTTTCAACTTTCGTTGCAATTATTTGTCCATTCTAGAAGTTTATGCTTCGCTTCCCGCCCCTAGTTGTACAGATGTTAGTTTAGATACTACGGTGTTTTAACTGATCCTGAATCAAACATCGCTGTTTGCAGTTTTTCCAATGTTCACCAGTTGGTCAAGACTCTTAAGATATTGTGTTAAGATTAAGTAACTGAAGACAACCAGGGGCCGAAATGTTTAGCAGTTAAATTTGTGAATTGCTAGAAACACCGGGCCAGTTGTATGTTTATTCTGAAATTAATGATATCTTCAAGTTTTGCGTTGCACATTATTTTAAATTCAACCATACACTGTGGTTTCAATCAGCTTTACGTTATAATAGTCTTTGTAAAATCCCTATTATTGAGCAGGCTATAGTTCACTACCAAGACACATTGTAAGGAATTTTCTTCTTCCTAGCTGCGTGTCTTCGCCGTGTAATTGGAAGAAATTGGAAGTAATTCGCCGTCCTGCTGGCGGTTTGAAGATCCGCAGTTCAGATCGCTTTTGAGGTAATTGCTGATTCTTCATATTTTTTGATTTGAAAATCTTAATACATTCTGTAACTTAGCTAGCTGGGGTTAGGCGAGTAGGCTCTAGAAACGTCTGACAAGACAGGAATTGAAGTTAAGAGATAGAGCATAATAAAGCTAAGAAACAAAATCGAAATCTGCATCAATAATTGATGCAGATGAAATTTTTAGAAGCAGCTGATAATTTGGCTGACGTTACGGCTGAAGTGGGCAAGTGCCCCATCGTGTTGGAATCACATTGTCTGTCGCATCGATGCAAAAATCTGTTCGTCATCTAAAAGTTGTGGCATGACTTGCTGCAGAAAAACCAAGTAGTTACAACCGGTTAGACGAGAAGACTACAGGTGGCGTGCTGCATGAGGTTTTGTACCGCCCCCAGAGATGGGCGTTATGTCCGTTGAATATTCCTTCCCTTGTGAAGGATGCCACATCGTAAGTTGGGAAACGGTGATCTGTAGCACACCTTTCAAGATACCATTCTGCAAAAGTAATAGGAGGTGCATAATCACCCTGTTGAAGTGCCTGGATACGCTTCACGTGATACGGATGCATTTCGTTTTCTCAGTGAATCCTCCAGATTCTGGAACGAGAAACCCCAACCGCTTGCGCTACGCTTCGCGTATTCAAACTTGGATTCCCCTGTACCTAATGTAGCCCATTCTCTTCGATGTTCGGGGTCCATGCTGATCATTCATGGCAGCTCTTTGAAAGGAAATTGTTTCAGCTAACCTCCAGTGTAACCTTGCAAAGAAACTATGGCTATGTGTACGCCTCATAAGATACCGTAAGCGCTGTGAGGCTGGCCCAATACAATCTGCAGCCCCATATGTCAAACGCATATTGGTTAACTCCGCGTTCGTAAAATTATTCATCCTACTAAATCTGCGTCTTGTGGGAAATGATGATTTCCTGCAAGAACGCCATCTACGACGTCAGAAAAGCATTTCAGACCCTCACATTGCTATATTATTCCAAGTCGTTGGGGTGCACCCTACCCCTCCTAGAAGTTATGAAACGCGGTACTGAGACACCTTGTATATACACTTACATACATACACATATATATTACCTGAAGAACCATATATTAATATATATTTGTGTGTATATATGTGGATAACAGGATGAATAGCGAATTACGTCTGTCTCGCTGGTGAATAGAACCAGCTACAGCTATGAACGTGAACAAGATGAAATCAGTTTCAGCGCCCCCTATCTCCCAAATTCAGAAATTAGCGATTTGTATAAAAAACTATGAGAAGCGCGGAAAATTTTAGATACAAAGCTTCAGAGCATCATGGTTTTAGTATGAAAAAGCGTATTGTGTACTAGGATGCTAATTAGTCGTCTGCATACCTTGAAATTTTCGAAATCGAAGCACCTTTTCATAAGATTAAGGTTTTCTTAACACAAATTTTTAAAGCCCTTGAAATATATTTTAATATTTACAAAACACATATTTGGAAGCCGCCCAGACTGTATAATTGTTAGGGGAGCCTACTGCGGTACCAAAGGGCCCAGTTTCAAATCCCGCAGAAGGCAATGATCTTTGTAAATGTATAGTGTCTTTGCGGAAGGGGGCACTCTAAATATATGACTAGTCGAATGTCCTCTTGTGTGGTTTGGTGGTTGGTGTGAGGGGTGGGAGACCATCGGAGCACCCGCCGGGGTGCTCTTCCTCAAAACTGGGGTGGATGTAAAAGTCTAACTTCCTTGAGGCTCTAGCAACCATTCTTCCATGAAATACGTGGACAAGACAACAAAAACAACATATTTGAAAAAAAAATGAAAATATAATTCCTTAAAATTAAAGTAAGCAAAGTAAGTGATTGCATTTCAACTTAATCCTGATCAAAATTTATCAGTACTTTCAGAAGATCTTGTTAGTCACAAAACCTCTTACGTCAACAAATTTACAAACTGAGAGCAACATTCTACTTCTTCTTCATAAGCTCTATAAGCCTGTTGCTAGCCTGACCCCATTCGGCGCAATAGCCCTCCATCGGTTAAGTCCAATTAACCTTAAATTCTCCTTGACATCATTTATCGATCTAGTGGGTGGTCTTCCTTTTCGTCTTATTCCATCGATTCTCGAATAGGTTATCTTTTTGGTTGGAAATGCATCATCATATCTAAACACATGGCCTAGCCATCTGATACGAGATGCCTTTATGATTCTCACAATATTAGTTTCACCGCGTTTCCTATATTTTCCATATAGTTCATTATTACAGAGAATCCTCCACATGCCATTTTTTTATGTACTGGTCCAAAGATTTTTCTTAGGATATTTCTTAGGATTTTTCTTTCAAAAGTTGATATCAGGTCTTTCTCTGCTCTATTAAGTAACATTCCCTTCCGCAAAGAGCAACAGGACTTATTAAAGTTTTATATAACTTTAATTTAGTTTTTATGTTAATTTGAATTTAAGTGGTTTTTTAAGGTCGTGGTAACATCTATTAGCTATAAATATTCTATTTTTTATTTCAATTTTTATATCGTTGCAGCTTGTGATCACTGTGCGCAGATATTTAAATTGTTTTATGGTTTCAAAGGTATAACTGTTTATCTTCAGAGAGCAACATTACTCTTTTGTTTAAAACTTTTAGCGAACAAATAATAATAACTCAATTTAATTTAAGAAATCAAAGTCTAAATAATGAGAAGGGATTTTAAAACGCGTATTGAAGTAAATTTAAAATTTAAAATTTTTAAAGCAAATATTTCGGTTGAAGTTACGTACTTAAAGTAAATACTATTACCGCAGCTAAAAAATGACAAAAATAAGCTTATGTTAAATGAATGTAATAGTTAGTTTAAATGCAATAGTTTGTTTCAGAATAACACCAAATGCACAAGATACTCGCCTAATGTTTTGTTTTCATCTGTAAATTATTCATTTTAAAGTCTTTAATTGTAGTAAATGCATTCAAAATCCAACTGACCCATGGATCGACAAGGCGAATAATATCTACTGCAATGGTACGAAAAGCTGAAAGTCGACTCAGTCAGAATACATTACTGGATATGCCTACAACAAAGCTCTGGCCCAATATTTTTCATAGATGCATTATTTGAAAATTCTTATCTATGCACGCCACATGCTCAGTAATCTCTTTTTAATTTAAATGTTTGTTCTGTAAAATCATTCATTTGAAAGTCTTTAAATACAAAAATTTGTGTTTAAATCTAACTTAATCCCTGAATTAAGACTCTACAAACTGTAGTAGATTCGATTAGCGAATAGGTGAAGTACTAACAGTAGTCTAATGATAGTTGCAAAAATAATACGAAGGGATAACAGAAATTACAGTTAATTTTATATGTATATCTATCTATCTATCTATCTATATACCTGTCAGCAACAAAGCTTTCGTTGCCCTATTTTATGAAATATCATCACTTGCAAATTTAAACCTAAGAACTCACATTCCAGAATGACAATGTCGATCTAATGTAAGAATCAAATGATTTAAAAGTAATTAAAAGTACTAATGGATAGTTTCATACGAAATATATGAAAGTCGTAGATAAAATACGTGTTATTAAAAGCATTTACTGGAAAGATGTTAAAAAATTAGCAACAAACCGAACATAAATATTATCTTAATCCATAAATTCATTCTTTCAGATATACAGAAGCCACGCACAAAGTCGGGCATTCAAGCGAAATGTTATAGTCCTGAATTTATTCACTGACACACATGCGAGAACAGTCTCTCTATTCAAGGATGGTTGATAGTGAATATTTCATATTATCACTAACTGTAGTGAGTAGATAAACAAATTGTAAATTAGATAAGCAAAATTTATCCTTGCGTGAGTTCTTTCAAAGAGGTCAAGTTGTTTCTGTCATCGCGAAAGAAAGCCCTCATCCATTTAGAAAAAATAGTATTACGAACCTTTAAACTTTTCATTGAAAGAAAATTAATTTGGCAAATAATGAATTTCTACAACTTTTCAAAGGAATGACATCTTTCCTTATTTTAAATAATATACGAATTCTAGAAATTAATTTACTGCTCAAATGAAGAGACACTGATCAAACTGAGCTACACTAGGGCAGCTCTGTTGCCCGATCAACAAAA